ATCAAAAACAAAACTGAAACTTATAAAACATGTTAATACGTTGCTGTGGATGAATAGAGCATTTTTCAAGACAATAAAAAGAACATGGTGATCTAAATATGTGACATGTTCCAGTTAAAACCACAGAGACGTCGGGGTTAAAGTGTGTATGACAGATTTTGATCATTCTCAAAAGTCTGTGGGATAATACCTTTTATATATATTTTAGTCAAATCAAGAAGCAGTTTGTATTAAGAAAAGTTGAAAAATATGTTGAAAATGGCAGGAAGTGGAGAATCCCACACTGACGACTTCAAACTGGGAGAATTGTGTTCAAAAGTTCGGCACAATTTACACAAGAAACACGTTTTTATCAGAGAATTTAAACATGATTTCAACAAAAAAAGGCGTTTTATTATTATTTTATTTGTTTAATCATTGTTTCTGTGGACATTTGTGAACATTTGGCCGACTGCGCTGCATGGTTGCTTAAAAAAAAGCCAAACCAGGAAAAAAAAAAGTAAAATTTTAAATGTAATGATGTCAACTGTGTAGAAAAATGACATAAACACTTTAAATAAAAGTCTGTGTGTCTGGGTTTTAGGGAAACTTGTTCAGAGGCTCCAGTTTGTTCTTCCGTCGGGTTCCTGCCAGCGTGATGCCCACTGTGGAGCTCTGAGCACCTCCTCCTCCTCCTCCTGCTGCTGCTGCTGTGTGCGTGTGCCCGACCCGTGTGCCCGACCCGTGTGCCCGACCCGTGTGCCCGACCCTCCCTCCACACCCTGAGCTCCTCCTGGCAGTGTGTGTGTGGTCGGTCTCCAGGGGGCAGCAGTGTTTTTAATGCCAGTGACCTCCACTCACCTCCTCCATGCCCACCTCCATGCCCACCTCCATGCCCTCCTCCCTCCTCCATGCCCTCCTCCATGCCCACCTCCATGCCCACCTCCATGCCCACCTCCATGCCCACCTCCGCCCGCTCTGGTTCCCGAACTCTAATGTCCCGTAAAGTTTCCAGACGTTAGAGGTTGTGTACGGAGGATTTTTTTTTAGTTCCAAATTGCCAGTGAAAGTTTGAAACAGCATCAGAAACGTAGGAGCTTTGGAATTATGATGAACAAACAACAAAGAATGAAAATCCACAGACGCAAGACGCCGTTTTCTCGATTTTTTCCAATTGTAGCTTCTTCGTAGTTTACACAAAGTTTGTCGCGACGGCGGACGAGAATCCACGACCAGTTCGCCGCAAAAGAAAGTCGGTTTTTGAAGTCGCTGAAAGAAGAAGAGAAGAAGGGGAAAAGGAGCGAAGACAAACTGAGGTGATTCTTGGAGATTCCTTCCAGCGATGGCGCGACTGAAGCAGACGATAAATGACTTCTGGACATGAAACTTCAACAGCGATTCGTTCGAGGAGGAGTTTCTACTGAGGAAGCTTTGGATTTGGGAAAAATGTGTTTCTGTGTTTCTCTTTCCTCGGAAAATCCTCCATACAACCTTTAAATCAGACCTAAACTGGACTTTTCCGGAGCTTTAAATCACATTTTAAGTTTCTTCTCATTGAGCCTCTGAAGTCGTGTTTGAAGAATCTTTAATCGTTTATTTTCAAGACGCCGTTTTGTCGATCTCCCCCCGTTTTCAGCTCCTCCAGTAGAAGCTCACTGCTCTGTGTTTCCTGTGTTCTCTGACATGTGTAGTATCGAGCTTTTTCACAACGGCCGCAGTGTTAGTGTGCTGTGGCTCTGCAGAACTTCAGTTAATGTTTTTCTGTGTAAATGTGTCGTATTCTGCCCCATCACCAAATCTTCAACCAACAAACTCCACGAAGGAGAAACATTCTAACATGAAGAATTTATCCACAACTTTCAAGAGAAGAAAGAACAAAACTTAAAGGAAACAACGATGACGTATTGGTGAACTACTAACTACTGAGCAAAACTTATTTATGAGATAAATAAGCAGATTGATGAAGCTGCTGGAGAATATGACACATTTACACACATTTTGACACAAAAACCATTAACCGGAAATTCCACAAACCTACAGCCGGACACTTCTGGCCGCTGTGAAAAAGTCTATTTTCAAGATTCCGTTTTGCCGCTCTCCTCCCTGTTTTCAGCTCCACTGGTCCACGCCCACGGTGACGTCCGCACGTCTGTCTCCAGTTTGATGTTCTTCATGGGTGATACTCGTAGGATTGGGCAGCGTTGTTTTGGTGTAGTTATTTTGGTCCAAATTTAAAAGAAAAACCAAAACACTCTGCTCCAGTGTGATGTGCAGCTTTCAACAGGAGGGTTTGTAATACATACCCAGTAAATACAAAATAAAAGCCTCACAGAAAGTCATAATTGTGAGTTTAAAAGTCATAATTGTGAGTTTAAAAGTCATAATTGTGAGTTTAAAAGTCATAATTGTGAGTTTTAAAGTCATAATTGTGAGTTTTAAAGTCATAATTGTGAGTTTAAAAGTCATAATTGTGAGTTTTAAAGTCATAATTGTGAGTTTTAAAGTCATAATTGTGAGTTTTAAAGTCATAATTGTGAGTTTTAAAGTCATAATTACGACTTTCTGTGAGGCTTTTATTTTTTATTTATTGGCAGAAATGGGCTTCTGTAGAAGGGGCCCACAGTGGATTTTTAAATGTTTTATTTTTTAACATTTGGACCAAAAGGATGATGCGACAATGCCCAGTTGTACAAGTATCACCCATGAAGAACATCAAACTGGAGACAGACGTGTGGACGTCACAGTGGGAGTGAAAACAGGGGCAGATCAACAAAATGACGTCTTGAATACAGGAAAATAAAGACTGAACTATTATAAATACACTTCAGAGGATCAAACCAACTGTGACCAGGGCTGGTATCGGAAAGAAGTTGCCGATACGATACACAGTGCACTGTATCAAAAAAACGTATCGTGGCCTTTCGATTCAATACGATTCGATAAAAAAAAAAAGGCTAAATCATGGCTGTGATACTAAAAGTCTGAGTCCACTGAGTTCGTGCAAAGTTAATGATCTCGGGCAGAATAGGGAGAACTAAACTAAAAATTCACAGGCGCCGGAAACTCGTACGATCATTGTTGCAAATCGATCGCACGAAAGACGAACATTTCATTCTTACAGTTAATATTAGGGATGTAACAAAAACAGAAATATCGTATCGTCAAAGTTCTCACAATGTATCGAATCACAAGTTTATTTGTTTAAATGAAGAGTTATGATGCAGCAACAGCTAAAAAAAAAAAAAAAAAAAAAAGAGGGAACTACATTTCCCATGATCCTTTGCTCCATTTCAGTGCAGACGACAAGAAGAAATAACATTTCTAACACTTTTAACTCTTAGTTCTTTGGATTAAGTTTTGCCAAGACATTTTAAGAGGAAAAAGTCGAATATTCAGTTTTAGTGGTTTAGCCTCCACAAAATATCACAATAAATATCGCACCGTGAGGTTTATATCGTGAAAATATCGCACGGAGAGATTTGGATATTGTTACATCTCTAATCGTGAGCCTCGCCACCGTATTGTGAACTTTCTCGCGATATCGCAGTATATTTAACATATACAGACCGAAAAGGTGCAGGCTGAAGCTTAAGCTTATTCGCCTTTACCCTTTATTCCTTTGTCAGAGCTTCATCTTGACACCAGTTCATCTTCATAAATACGCAGGAAGAAACAAGCTTCATAACAGAACAACAAAGTTCTACAGAAACTAAGTCTCATGTTTCATGTTTCTGTCCAAGTAAACATTTAAACTTCTTTATGAAGTGAAAGAAAGTGGTGCACAATTTGAGGTTTTCTGTACAGTTGTTCCACTCCGCCCTTTAACAAACAAAATCATAATGTTTGTTCTGATTTTCTTTTTAATAAACATGTCGTGCCTCTAGCTCAATCGGCTCTTTCGGATTTTGAACATGTTCTGTAACGATTTCGACAGGAGATGTTGTTTACTTTGAACATGATTTTAAGAGTGTACAGGTCAAAATCGTAAAATTTCAGCGTTTGAATATATATCAAAATCTAAGACTTGATATCGTGCTCAGTAAATACAACAAAACAGTGAAAATGTCAGAACACAATTGTGGCTTTTACACAAAATAATTTAGTGAAACAAATCTAGCGACATATCGATTCAGCAGCCCACGATACCGATACTGCATCATCAAATTAAACGAGTCGATATTTCAATATTCTATAAAAGTTGTGAAAAGTCCAGTTCGCAGAGTTCGTCTCCTTTAAGTTTGGATTTTTTGATTGGATTAGAAAAAGTTTTTATTTCCATCTGAATTCTCGAGCGTTTTATTTTATTTTTATTTAGAAATTATCAAATATAAAGGTTTGGTTTCTTTTCTTAATCTTTGACCCTTTTGCTGAAAATCTGTTTTCTTTTTATTTCAGAAATCATCAGGTTGTACTCAGTTCCATTTACTCGAGTACTTTTTGTAATAAACTGATTCTTCTTGCTGTGTTTTTCAGACGTGTGTTACAGTGTTTAATTTACAGTTTCATAAAATCCTTGTTTAAATAAATCAGTCACATGAACCTTTGTGGACGTTGCTTCCAAGTTACTTAAAGCTGCATTGTGTAACTTTTCTGGAGGCTCCGTCAGATGCTGTTGCTTCGTCCGGAATTTTCCGCAGCCACGACTCCAAGAGCTTCAGCTTCAGACTCGAGCCGTTTGAGCAACAAAGATTCAGAAACACGTTCAGTTTGAGGTGAGTCATTTCAGTCGACGGTTTAGGAAAAATAGGCCGAAATATTAAAGTCAGGGGAGAGTTCGTGAAAATCGTGAGCCTAAGGTTTTCAAAAATCCATGGATACAAGTTGGGACGTTTCCCGAGTGGCTGGTGCACGTAAAATACAAAGAAAAAAACGACCCCTCCCAAAAAAAAAAAAAAAAAAGGTTATATCTCCATTTCCTTTAGTCTTAAATTTTTATATAATGTAATTTTTCTACTTTGTTTGATACAAGGGATCAAATTCTGATATTTTCTTCTTATTTTGGTAACACTTTTATAATAACTACACCTTATTTAGCCTTAATAAAGCATGAACAAAGAATTAACAATGATTCACGCTTAGTAACTACTTAATTACTACTTGAATTAACACTTAACTTACACTTAATTCACCTGTGCTGTAAATAGTTACTCATAAGTATTTCTTACTTAATTACTCATGAACTAACCATTTGTGTATTTGTAAATGTATATTTAAGTACAAATTTGAGCATTTATTAATCATTAATAAGCCATGAGAGAATGATTTACTAATAATGCAAAACAACGATCATTCAGCAGCTGTTCTCTGTTAGTTAAATCTTTCTGAAAGTTTTTCTAAAGTGAAGATGAATTATGTTTTATTAAGAATGAGTTAAAGTTGGTCAAATTCCAGAGAAATAAAATGCATTATTAGTACACACACAAACACACACAAACACACACAACCAACCAACATCCTTCCAAACACAATCGTGAGACAAGTTGATAATGTTTCTGGTTATAAGTAGAGATTGAGTCTATTGGGAGATTGGTCCACGACTTCTAGACTGAACATGAACTATTGTCAGATTGTGAGATAAAGGCTTTTGCAAAACAATATTTTTCACTCTAGAATGATGTAACATGTTCAGTTTTAGGGGTTTAAAGGCCTGAATGAGCTTCGTACAGAATGTTATTTCATTTCACAGATATGGACTGTTTTTCCAAGTAAAAAGTGACCATGACAATAAATTTGGATTGAAAATGGCCTTAAAATAGGAAGATCACATTCCTTTGATCAAGTCAAGTCATTATACAACAAGTTCAGACAAAAGGAGGGTGGGATTCAACCTTTTCTCTTTCTGGCAGGGGCCATTTTGGACTTGTGGGGACACTCAAAAATCTTAGGCCCAAACCTAACACCTGCCAAAAATCTAAAACCTTTTCAGAAGTGCACGAACTTTATGATATGTCACAATTTCCTTCCCAAATATTAAAAAGTTCAAAACTTTTTGGTTTCTGTTTGCTCATGTTGTACGTTGTTGAACTTTCCACCTGCAGAGACACATGCAGGACATCGGTGTTGCCTTTAAGATTTCACCGACACGTCGCACTAAACCAAAATTTAAATCTGAGGGACCCAAAATTTACAAACGTTCATATAAACGTTCATATAAAATGCACATTCACCAAAGTATCGTCTTTAAAGTCTCTGTACCTGATTTTTATCATCTTAAAACCATGAAAAACAGAACTAGTAGATTGTGACCAGTTTGCAGTGATGCAAGTGATACTTCCTCCTTTACCTCATGCCTCATTATTCATGCTAACGTGCACTTCCTGATTATCGGACAATAACATGTTTTATAAATCGATGCAGAGAGAACGCAGCTGCACAGATCTGATATGTCTGGGGTAAGACACTTTTTGCTCAAATATACGGAGAAAAAAACCCGTCAACATCATCCACATTCTCTGGGGGTGTGACGCTAACTGAGGCACTGCTCTGTCTGAAGCTGTTCCTCGAGCTGGACTTAAGTCTGAGCTTCAAACATGATTTTTAAACCCATTTTGTGAGTTTTCAGACGATCCTAAAATATTTCTGTCCGTGTTTGCTCATGTGCGTGTTGAGCGTCGGGGGGACGCTCCATTCATCCATCCATTTTCTTCTGCTTATCCGAGGAGAAACCATCCACCCACACACAATGTCCAGAGATCCGGTCGCCGAGGCCCCCGCCTTCGACCGCCGCCCAGATCTGTCTGCACCGGCCCCATATGGATCCGGCCGGGCCCCGTGGGGAAAGACTCGGCCCCCAGGCGCTCGCCGTGGAGCTCCCACCCCAGACCTGCCTCCAGGGTGGGGATGTGGTGACGCCAATCCGGGCGGCGTAACTGGGCTCTGTTCCTCTTGTCGTTAGGGTCATCGTGGTGGAGGGTTTGAGCCTGAATGATCCTGGGAGCTGTGGGCAAAAAGGTCCTGGGGGGACGGGTCAGACTGAGCGGTTCAGACTGCAGGTTTAACGCTCAATTCTGATTTTTTTGTGAAATCCGATGTTTTTTCGAGGTCGTTCACATTTCCAGTTAAATGTGACTTGTATGTGACTCCAGTGTGAACATTAAACGGTCCAAAAGTGTCCCACATGTGACACTGGAGACACGACGACGTCAACCGCAGCGAGCGTCTCTGTGTTTACACAAGTTGTCCAAACATGGACGCAGCATCGAGCACCTGGAGATTTTAAAGTTCCTCTCGTACCGGAGCCACAACATGAACAACTGACTTGTTTTAAGGAGGAGATTGAGAAGGAGAAGGACCAGGTTTTTGGTCGTGGTGTTTTGTGGTGAGTGGAGATGTGCTTCACTTCAGTCACACGGAGTTTATTAACAATTTTCTCCTACTTCAGCGCAGAATAGTGACGTTTGTGTCTTGTTGATAACGTGTAGGTGGATGAATGCACTTTGGTCGTTCACACTGAAGTCACATGTTAAAGATCAGATCTGTATCAGTTTCAGGAGCACAGATCCAAGTGTCCTGGGTCATGTTTGAAAAAATCGGATCTGTGTGGTTCAGACTGACATTAAAAGATCAGATACAGGAACATAGAGACAAAAAAATCAGATTTGGGTCACTTCAGGTGCAGTGTGAACGCAGCCTTCAGAAGCCCAGTGGGAAATCTGTACCAAAATGTTTAGATTCGACCTTTTTACACAACTCTGGGATCTAGAAATCTTCAAAATTCCTCTTCTAGAAATGACAAAATCACGTCCAGCGCGACGTCACCGCAGAGGATCAACAGTAAAAAAACCAAACAGATTCACAAAACACACGACGGTGAAAACACAAACTGCATCCAACAAATGATTTTAATCGTGGTTAAATAAATATCGCCGATCAAAGAAACAGAAACAGAGCAGAATCAAAACGCTTCAAAAATATGACAATAAGGTGCTGAACAAGGCCAAGACGTGAAAGTGTAACAACGTGTGTGTGTGACTGTGTGTGTGACTGTGTGTGTTTGTGTGTGTTTGTGTGAGTGTGTACCCATGTGTACTTGTCCATGTGTGCGTATACCTGTGTGTGTGCCTGCCCATGTGTGTGTGCGTATGTTTCTGCTAGTGTTTATGTGTGTGTGTGTGTGACTGTGCCCGTGTATGTTTGTGTTTGTGTGTGTGTCCCTGACTGTTTGTGTTTGTGTGTGTGTGTGTGTGCCCATGTGTGCGTGCATGCTTCTGCTCGTGTGAGTGTGTGTATGTGCGTATGCGACTGTGTGTGTGTCAGTGTGTGTATGTCTGTATGTGTGTGTGCCCTTGAATTTTTGTGTTCGTGTTTTTTGAGTGTGTGTACCCATGTGCTTGGGTTTGTGTGTGTTTGTGTACCCCGTGTGTGTGTGTGTGTGTGTGTGGTGGTGTGTATGTGTTGTCTGTTGTCTGTGTGTGTTTACCCTGTGTGTGTGTGTGTGTGTACCCGTGTGTGTGTGTGTGTGTGTGTTTACCCCGTGTGTGTGTGTGTGTGTGTGTTTACCCCGTGTGTGTGTGTGTGTGTGTGTGTGTGTGTGTGTCGTGTGTGTGTGTGTGTGTGCTGTGTGTGTGTGTGTGTGTGTGTGTGTGTGTGTGTGTGTGTGTCTGTGTGTGTGTGTGTGTGTGTGTGTGTGTGTGTGTGTGTGTGTGTGCTGTGTGTGTGTGTGTGTGTCCCGTGTGTGTGTGTGTGTGACAAGCGATCAGACGCCCCACCCCTCATCCAGCCGCCGTGAGCAGAAACCTGTGAGTCTTTGGTTCAAACAGCAGCATTTTGGAGAAGCCACAGCAGAAGATCCCTGAAGAACACGTCCAGGAAGCCCTTTGGTCCGGCCCCGAGGAGCCCGGGAACCCGGGCCCCCGGGAGCCGAGGCCCAGAGGAGCCCGGGCCCCCGGGAGCCGACGGAGCGGAATGCTGGTGTTCGGAAGAGTCCCATTGGAAGAAGGCAAAGCAGCTCAGTCCCGGTGAGGGGCCCGTCCCCCGAGAGCGAGCAGTTCCTGTGCGGGGCCCGCGGGAGGCGCCGGTGTCGGGGGCCGGTGTCGGGGGCCCCTCCTCATCTCTTCCCCGACTTCATGTAGGACGGAATGGCCCCTCTGGCGGTGAGCCCCTCGAAGCGTTTGTACGTGTAGTTGATGAAGACCCAGTCCTTGTTCTTCAGCTCCGTCTCCGTCTTGGTTGGACACAGACGTCGCTGGAACAGAAACAAATGAATAAAAGAACAAACGTGAACAAGGCTAAACGTCGTCTAAAACCAAACACAGTTTCTTCCACAATTTGACCCAAACGCTCACGTCCTGAACTTCACCTAAAACATGTTCAGACACGATTCATGAAAACATGAAAACTGTCGTCATCTGATCAACGATTCTGCAAATCTGCCACAAACTTCACAGGACATAAAAGTGGACGACGTCATTACAACACAGCTTCAGTTTTCTGGAAAATTCTAAACACAGACTGGGGACACCTGGACATTTAAACAGACTGGGGGAGAGGTGAACATTTGGACAGTTTGGGAAACAGTCTGGGGGACAGACTGGGGAGAGTTGGACAGTTGGACATTGGGACAGTATGGGGAAAGTGTGGACATTGGGAGAGACCTAGGAGATAGTTGGACATTGGGACAGTTAGGAAAACAGTCTGGGGGACAGGTGGACAGTTGGACAGTTGGACATTAGGACAGTTGGACAGACTGGGGGACAGTTGGACATTAGGACAGTTGGACATTAGGACAGTTGGACATTAGGACAGTTGGACAGTTGGACATTAGGACAGTTGGACATTAGGACAGTTGGACATTAGGACAGTTGGACAGTTGGACATTAGGACAGTTGGACAGTTGGACATTAGGACAGTTGGACAGTTGGACATTAGACAGTTGGACAGTTGGACATTACATTGGACAGTTGGACATTAGGACATTGGACTTGGACAGTTGGACATTACATTAGGACAGTTGGACATTAGGACAGTTGGACAGTTGGACATTAGGACAGTTGGACAGTTGGACATTAGGACAGTTGGACATTTGGACAGTTGGACATTAGGACATTAGGACAGTTGGACATTAGGACAGTTGGACAGTTGGACATTAGGACAGTTGGACATTAGGACATTAGGACATTAGGACAGTTGGACATTAGGACAGTTGGACATTAGGACATTAGGACAGTTGGACATTAGGACAGTTGGACAGTTGGACATTGGACAGTTGGACATTAGGACAGTTGGACATTAGGACATTAGGACATTAGGACAGTTGGACAGTTGGACATTAGGACAGTTGGACATTAGGACATTAGGACATTAGGACAGTTGGACATTAGGACAGTTGGACAGTTGGACATTAGGACAGTTGGACATTAGGACAGTTGGACATTAGGACATTAGGACAGTTGGACATTAGGACAGTTGGACATTAGGACAGTTGGACAGACCTGGAGGACAGTTGGACATTAGGACAGTTGGACATTAGGACAGTTGGACATTAGGACATCAGGACATTGGACAGTAGGACAGTTGGACAGTTGGACAGTTGGACATTAGGACAGTTGGACATTAGGACAGTTGGACATTAGGACATTAGGACAGTTGGACATTAGGACAGTTGGACATTAGGACAGTATGGGGAAAGTGTGGACATTGGGAGAGACCTAGGAGATAGTTGGACATTGGGACAGTTAGGAAAACAGTCTGGGGGACAGGTGGACATTAGGACAGTTGGACATTAGGACAGTTGGACAGTTGGACATTAGTTGGACATTAGGGAGGACAGTTGGACATTAGGACAGTTACATTAGGACAGTTGGACATTGGACAGGACAGTTGGACATGGACATTAGGACAGTTGGACAGTGGACAGTTAGGACAGTTGGACATTTGGACATTACATGGACAGTTGGACATTGGACAGTTGGACAGGACAGTTGGACATTAGGACAGTTGGACATTGGACAGTTGGACATTACAGTTGGACATTGGACAGTTGGACAGTTGGACATTGGACATTAGGACAGTTGGACAGTTGGACATTAGGACAGTTGGACATAGGACAGTTGGACAGGACATTGGACAGTTGACAGGACAGTGGATAGGACAGTTTGACATTGGACAGTTGGACAGTTGGACATTAGGACAGTTGGACAGACCTGGTGGACAGTTGGACAGACCTGGAGGACAGTTGGACAGACCTGGGTGGAGGATGTCTGAGTCGGGGAATTCGTCAAAGTGTGAAGTGTCATCGATGCTTTTGATCTCGATGGGGATGGCGGCCGGACGCTCCCTGAAACCCAAAACATACAGTATAATATATATATATATATATATATATATATATATATATATATATATATATATATATATATATATGTCGGAGCACTCGGGGCTGTAACCCCCAAACTGGAAGAGTGGCTACAACAGATACCGGGAAAAACAACGGAACATCTCAGTCCAGAAAAGTGCAGCACTGGGAACAGCAAAGATACTGCGCAGAACTGTCAAGCTCCCAGGCCTCTGGTAGACGACCCGAGCTCAATGAGGGTGAGAGACCAACCACCGTGGAAGGTGAGAAACACACATTTTATATATATATATATATATATATATATATATATATATATATATATATATATATATATATATAAAAAACACACACAGGCTGGAGTAGGGTGGGCGATATATCGATATTTTAAATATATCGAGATAGTTTTTAAACTCGATATGAATTCTGACATATCGTATATATCGATATAATGCTTAGATTCAATTCTGATTTCCCCGCTTCACTTGTTTGTTTCTCTCTCGTCGCCTCCGTCTCCCTGAGTTTCTTCGCTCGTGTCTCCTTCACTCGTCACTAACGCCGTGAACACCGTAAGTTGTTGCCAGTGAAAAGCTTCAAACACCACGAACCTTTTCCATCATTTACAGACAAGAACATCAGCAGCAGCTCATCCTCATGTTCCACCGAGTCGCGTCCTTTAACCAGAAAGAAACTAAACGAGCTGAGCTGCGTGAGACGTGCTGTTTATATAAATGAGACATGAGCTTAAGTTTCGTTTCTGTAAAATCTAAACACACGTGCGCAGAACTACATTAAACACATTATAATGTCAAACAGGCTGATGTGGCTCTAGAGTCGTTGTGTTTATATACTGTAAAGTTTAGTCATGTAAAGTTTATTTATGCAGAATATTTTAATGAATAATCTGCTGCAGTGTCACTTGTTCAACAGTGTTTTAATCGTTGGGTTTGATCTGCAGTGGATTGTGGGATTAAACCTCAGATCCTCACTGCTGGATAATAACATGGATCTGTTGAAATAAGGAACATCCTGAGTTTCTTCTGCTAAAGGAGCTCATGGTTCTGGTTTGGTTAACAAAGTTAATGCAAAGATGAGCTTGTGTTGAGTTGTTTTATTTATGAATGAAAAGAAGGAAATATGTATTATTTCTTTTATTTTACAGTTAAATTATTATTTATGTAATTAGGGTTTTTGTAATCTTAAATGTTCCTGTATGAACTGTCGACCTCTTACACTTCAATAAAAAAAAAGACCTTGTGGAATTGGCAGATTTGTTTTTGCAGTTTTCAGTTTTAGGGGGTTATTTTTCCTTGAACATATGTCGAGATATATATCGTATATCGAGATACAGCAAAATATATCGAGATATATTTTTTTGATCCATATCGCCCAGCCCTAGGCTGTAGTAGTACAAGTATATATAGTATAGTATATATTGCAGTATATAAAACACAAACTATAAACTGTACCGTCTATAACAGAACAGCAGCTCTGTTCACATGTTCACAGGTCAAAGTTCAGGTCAGAGTTTAAACGAGCTTCTGTTCTGTTCAAAATCAACCAAACTACAAACTCAACCTGAGTCGTGTCCTGAAAGTCAAACTAAACTCTAAATTTTTTTTTTTTTCAACTAAACTGTGTTTTTATAAAAATATTTACTGTTCCCAGTCCTGTTTTGACCATTTTTATGTAAACCAGATCTGCAATTTCAAGTACTATGTGACATCACACAGAGCAGGTGTTTGTGAACTGAGTCTAACGTGTGGACGACAGACCAACCACACTGTCCCTCAGGTCTCCACCTCCACCTCCACCTCTCCTCCTCTCCTCCTCCTCCTCTCCTCCTCTCTCCTCTCTCCCTCTCTCCTCCTTCTCCTCCTCTCTTTTTGAGTTTGTACCTGATGTGGTCGTAGTCGACTCCCTCAAAAAACGAGTTGGTCTTTATTTCCTCGACTCCAGCTGCTCCGATTCTGTTTTCCTCCTCACAGCAAAACCTGCACAAACAGTTTCACAACATCAGAGTCCAGATTCTTCACTATTCCAACCCTCTCCTCCTTCCTCCTCCATCCTTCCTCCTTCCTCCTCTCCTTCCTCCTTCCTCCTCCATCCTCCTCCTTCCTCCTCTATTACTTTCCTTCTCCATCCCTCTCTTCCATCCTCCTACTCTTCTCCCCTCTCCTCCATCCCTTTCCTCCTCTGTCCTACATCCTTCCTCCTTCCTCCCTCTCCTCCTTCCTCCTTCATCCCTCTCCTCCTCCATCCTACATCCTTCCTCCTCCTCCTCCATCCTTCCTCCTCCTCCTCCATCCTTCCTCCTTCATCCCTCTCCTCCTTCCTCCATCCCTCTCCTCCTCCATCCTTCCTCCTTCCTCCTCCTCCTCCATCCTTCCTCTTCCTTCTCCATCCTACATCCTCCCTCCTTCATCCCTCTCCTCCCTCCTCTTCCTCCTCTCCTCCTTCCTCCTCCTCCTCCTCCTTCCTCCCTCTCCTCCTTCCTCCTTCCTCCCTCTCCTCCTTCCTCCTTCCTCCCTCCCTCCTTCCTCCTTCTCTCCTCCTCCTCCTCCTCCTCCTTCTCCCTCTCCTCCTTCCTCCTTCCTCCTCTCCCTCTCCTCCTTCTCCTCCTCCCTCCTCCTCCTCCTCCCTCTCCTCCTTCCTCCCTCCCTCCTTCTCCTCCTTCTCCTCCTCTCCCTCTCCTCCTTCCCTCCTCTCCTCCTCTCCTCCTTCCTCCCTCTCCTCCTTCCTCCTTCCTCCTCTCCTCCCTCCTCCTCCTCTCTCCTTCCTCCTTCCTCCTCCTCTCCCCTCTCCTCCTTCCTCCTCCTCCCTCTCCTCCTTCCTCCTTCTCCTCCCTCCTCCTCCTTCCTCCCTCCTCCTCTCCTCCTTCCTCGTCTCTCGTTCTCTCCTCCTCGTCTCTCACCTGAGGATGAGTTCTTTGGCCTTCTCGGAGATGGGCACTTCAGGTGGAAACGTCAGCGTCTCTCTCCAGTTCATCACCTTCCTGTAGGTCTCCTGAGGCGTCTCCGAGCAGAACGGCGGGTAGCCTGGCACCGAACACACGGGCACAGAACACACGGGCACAGTGAGAGGGGGCAGAGCCAGAGACAACACCAGGGGGCAGGGCGAGGGCGGGCACAGGGTGAGTGTGGGTTTGTGAGTCTGGGGCGGGCACAGGGTGAGTGTGGGTTTGTGAGTCTGGGGCGGGCACAGGTGAGTCTGAGGCGGGCACAGGGTGAGTCTGGGGCGGGCACAGGGTGAGTGTGGGTTTGAGAGTCTGAGGCGGGCACAGGGTGAGTGTGGGTTTGTGAGTCTGGGGCGGGCACAGGGTGAGTGTGGGTTTGTGAGTCTGGGTTTGTGAGTCTGGGCGGGCACAGGGTGAGTGTGGGTTTGTGAGTCTGGGTTTGTGAGTCTGGGGCGGGCACAGGGTGAGTGTGGGTTTGAGAGTCTGGGGCGGGCACAGGGAGTGAGTGGGCACAGGGTGAGTGTGGGTTTGTGAGTCTGGGGGGCACAGGGTGAGTGTGGGTTTGAGTCTGGGGCGGGCACAGGGTGTGTGGGTTTGTGAGTCTGGGGCGGGCACAGGGTGAGTGTGGGTTTGTGAGTCTGGGGGAGTCTGGGCGGGCACAGGGTGAGTGTGGGTTTGTGAGTCTGGGTGGAGGGGCACAGGTGAGTGTGGGTTTGAGAGTCTGAGGCGGGCACAGGGTGAGTGTGGGTTTGTGAGTCTGGGGCGGGCACAGGGTGAGTGTGGGTTTGAGAGTCTGGGGCGGGCACAGGGTGAGTGTGGGTTTGTGAGTCTGGGGCGGGCACAGGGTGAGTGTGGGTTTGAGAGTCTGAGGCGGGCACAGGGTGAGTGTGGGTTTGTGAGTCTGGGGCGGGCACAGGGTGAGTGTGGGTTTGTGAGTCTGGGTTTGTGAGTCTGAGGCGGGCACAGGGTGAGTGTGGGTTTGTGAGTCTGGGGCGGGCACAGGGTGTAAGTCTGAGGCGGGCACAGGGTGAGTGTGGGTTTGTGAGTCTGAGGCGGGCACAGGGTGAGTGTGGGTTTGTGAGTCTGGGGCGGGCACAGGGTAAGTCTGAGGCGGGCACAGGGTGAGTGTGGTTTGTGAGTCTGAGGCGGGCACAGGGTGAGTGTGGGTTTGTGAGTCTGGGGCGGGCACAGGGTGTAAGTCTGAGGCGGGCACAGGGTGAGTGTGGGTTTGTGAGTCTGAGGCGGGCACAGGGTGAGTGTGGGTTTGAGAGTCTGAGGCGGGCACAGGGTGAGTGTGGGTTTGAGAGTCTGAGGCGGGCACAGGGTGTAAGTCTGAGGCGGGCACAGGGTGTAAGTCTTAGGTGGGCACATTCAGACGTTGTTACCTATGAGCATCTCGTACATGATGACCCCCAGGCTCCACCAGTCGCACAGTTTGTTGTACCCGTTCTGCATGAAGACTTCGGGGGCGATGTAGTCTGGGGTGCCCACCGTGGAGAAGGCCTGGAGCGGGCACACACACACACACAGACACACACACACACACACACACACACACAGTTTAGACCAACCGTCGCCAACCTTTTTACCCCACAGACCAGTTTAATGTCAGACGATATTTTCACAGAGCAGAAGTTAAGTTGCGGCGAATAAATACGACAAAATAAAATGATACGACCAACACAAAAACTGTAGTATTTTGTAAATATTAGGGACGGGCATTCAATGAAATGTTCTTAATCGATCGTTGTAAGAATTAACGATCGATTATCGATTAATCATTAACGTTTTTATATTAAAATGATCATCATTATTATTACTATCTGCACTAATCTGCATCAATAAATTCAACTTTACGACATATAAACATAACGACTCTAGATCCACATCAGCTGTTTGACATTATAATGTGTTTAATTCAGTTTTGTTCAAATCTCACAGAAACAAAACTTAAAACCACATCACTAATTTACATAAACTAAGTGAAGATAAAACTCCAGCTCTTGTGTCGCTGATGTGGTTCAACTTGTGTTGGATTAAAAGACATGACTCAGGTGAATACAGGTCAGTGTGACCAGATTTGTGTTTGTCAAAACCAGGACAGCGTACGGGGGGAGGGGGGCGGGGCCTCGTCATCCACATTGAGCGACTCTCACCTGGAAAAACTTTTTCCCTCTGGACACAGAAACATATGTGCTGCTTTATCCACTGTGCACATGGACTCACACTTGTCCCAACGCAACGGAAAGTGTGGAATTTCTTCTACAAATCCTGGTTAAATCCACATTTGTGCTTCGGTTCGTTACAGACTGACCCACTGTTTGTGTCTCGCTCCTTCTGATGCAGAGACACATGTACACACCTGTTTGTCCCCGACACACAAACATACATTCAGTTTGTCCATTAAAATCAACGGAATCGATGAAATATTTAATGATCAATTATCGATTAATCGACAAATCATGCCCATCCCTAGTAAATATAATAATAAACGTTTCCAAAGACGTCTGTTTTTTACTCATTTTGCAGCTTGTGGGTTTAATATCAACGTTAATGTGTCATGTGACCAAGACAAGAGAACTCAGTCTTTTTTCAAAATAAAACATTGTTCAGACTCGGATAATAAATAAAACGGAAATAATGTAAGTTATTTATTCTTTCTGTGCGGCCCGGTGCTGGTTTAGAGAACAGGCTGATGGGCAAACACTGTTCAATAAAAGTTTTATAACAGCATAAATCAGCTCATCTGCTCAGATTAAAGTCTAACTTGAGTAACAGAGCTTCAGACAGAGCAGTGCCTACAGTTAGCGCCACATCCCAAGAGAATACTGAAATAGGAAGTGGCTTTCTGGAGCTCGTTCTGTACATTCATCTGTGAAACGTCTCTTCTGCACTAGAGCGTCTCCAGATCTCAAAGCATTTCACTTTATTTGCATTATTTATTGAGTCTGTTTTAGTGTTGAAGCTTCTTCTTCTGCTTCAGCGACTGAGCAGAAATCAGGACAAACAAGATCTAAGGGATGTTCCAGTTTCTAAAGGTTGTGGTAGAGGAACAAAAACAGGGTTCGTACAGGTTTCTTTAAGTTAAATTCAAGTCTTTTTCAGACCTTTTTCAGACTATTAAACTTAATAACTATTTCATGGCCTATTTCATCGACCCACCAGCAAAGAAAAACTAAATTCTTGTTCATTTATTTCTCAAACAAATTAATCTGGGGAGTAGAGACTCGAACGGCCTTAATCAAACTTTAGGTTCTGCTGAGATTGTCTTTGATTTTACGAGTTTCTGCTTCTCTTCAGTGACATGTTCAGAGGATTTTGACCCGGGCTGTGTTTTGTTCTCAGTTATCGTTTCCGTCGCTCTTTATTTAGGCGACTTTATTTAACCAAATAGTGATGGTTCACAAATTAAACTTTTGAGAAGTTGGTCCAACCTGAAAACTCAAAGGTCGTGACCGTAGCTGATCCTAAAGACGCCGATACAGACGCGACTTTGACCCAAACGTCACGTTTTTAACAAATCTGCACTAAAATACCAAAATAAGTCCAGAGATAGAGACACACTTCTATTTTAGACACAATTACACAGAGAATCAGGAGGAAAAAGTGATTCTGTACGATGTTCAGATGTTCAGGTGTTCAGGTGTTCAAATGTTCAAATGTTCAGGTGTTGTAGATGTTCAGGTGTTCAAATGTGCACATGTTCAATGTTCAGGTGTGTAGATGTTCAAATGTTCAGGTGTTCAAATGTTCAGGTGTTCAAATGTTCAGGTGTTCAAATGTTCAAATGTTCAGGTGTTCAAATGTTCAGGTGTTCAGTGTTCAGATGTTCAAATGTTCAGGTGTTCAAATGTTCAGGTGTTCAAATGTTCAGGTGTTCAAATGTTCAGGTGTTCAAATGTTCAGATGTTCAAATGTTCAGGTGTTCAAATGTTCAGATGTTCAAATGTTCAGTGTTCAAATGTTCAGATGTTCAAATGTTCAGTGTTCAGGTGTTCAGGTGTTCAGATGTTCAGGTGTTCAGATGTTCAAATGTTCAGGTGTTCAAGTGTTCAAGTGTTCAGGTGTTCAGGTGTTCAGGTGTTCAGGTGTTCAAATGTTCAGGTGTTCAAATGTTCAGGTGTTCAGGTGTTCAGGTGTTCAAATGTTCAGGTGTTCAAATGTTCAGGTGTTCAGTGTTCATGTTCAAATGTTCAGGTGTTCAAATGTTCAGTGTTCAGGTGTTCAATGTTCAGTGTTCAAATGTTCAGTGTTCAAATGTTCAGGTGTTCAGTGTTCAGGTGTTCAGGTGTTCAGGTGTTCAGATGTTTCAGTGTTCAGGTGTTCAGATGTTCAGTTCAGTGTTCAGGTGTTCAGGTGTTCAGGTGTTCAGTGTTCAAATGTTCAGTGTTCAGATGTTCAGGTGTTCAGTGTTCAGGTTCAGTGTTCAATGTTCAGTTCAGTGTTCAGTGTTCAGTGTTCAGGTGTTCAGATGTTCAAATGTTCAGGTGTTCAGGTGTTCAGTGTTCAGTGTTCAGGTGTTCAGGTGTTCAGGTGTTCAGGTGTTCAGATGTTCAGGTGTTCAAATGTTCAGATGTTCAGGTGTTCAGATGTTCAGGTGTTCAGGTGTTCAGGTGTTCAGGTGTTCAGGTGTTTCAGATGTTCAGTGTTCAGGTGTTCAGATGTTCAGGTGTTCAGGTGTTCAGTGTTCAGTGTTCAGTGTTCAGTGTTCAGTGTTCAGTGTTCAGTGTTCAGTGTTCAGTGTTCATGTTCAGGTGTCAGTGTTCAGTTTCAGCAGTTCAGTGTTCAGTTTCATGTTCAGGTGTTCAGGTGTTCAGGTGTTCAGGTGTTCAGGTGTTCAGTGTTCAGACTCACCAGTTGTCTGCGGTTCCTCTTCCAGGTCTCTGCTTTCCTCTTGGAGTTCATGTTCTGAGCTGTGGACAGAGTCGCACACGTCAGACCAGAGACGTCCCCAACTCCCCGAGTCGGGTTTTTCACTTCAAATATTGTGGTTTTATGATTCGTTCTGGTTTTTACAGTTCACTCAGCCCCAACAAACCGCGCCCAGACGAGCCGCGCCCAGACGAGCCGCGCCCAGAGCGAGCCGCGCCCAGGTGTGGCACGTTTGGGACTCTGGTGTCAAATTAAACATAATTACACCTCCTCCTCTGGGCCACTCTTTTATTTCAAATGTAATACTACTGTTTGTTATTCTAATTGATTTGGATTATTTCGTGAGCTGCTGTGTCCAGATCATTTCCCTCTTGGATCCATAAAGTTTGCAGATCAGTGGAGATGTTTCTGCTTCACTTCTCCACACGTAAACAAACAGAACTGAGTGATGACGTCACCGGGCCGTGGCTCCGGAGTGTGGTGTGAAGAGAAGAGGAAGAAGAGGAGGAGGAGGAGGAAGAGAGGACGAGGAGAGGAGGAGGAGAGGAAGAGAAGAGGAGAGGAGGAGAGAAGGAAGAGGAGGAGCAGAAGAGGAGGAAGAGAGGATGAGGAGAGGAAGAGAGGAAGAGGAGAAGGAGGAGAAGAGGAGGTGGAGAAGAGGAGAGGAGGAGAAGAAGAGGAGAGGAAGAGAAGAGAAGAAGAGGAAGAGGAAAAGAAGAGGAGAGAAGGATAGGAAGAGGGAGGAAGAGGAGAAGGAGGAGAAGAGGAGGTGGAGAAGAGGAGAGGAGGAGAAGAGAGGAGAGGAAGAGAAGAGAAGAAGAGGAAGAGGAAAAGAAGAGGAGAGAAGGATAGGAAGAGGGAGGAAGAGGAGAAGAGGAGAGGAAGAGGAGAGGGAGAGGAGGAGAGGAAGAGAGGAGGAGGAGAAGAGAGGACGAGGAGAGGAAGAGAGGAGGAGAAGAAGAGAGGAGGAGGACAAGAAGAGAAGAGAAGAAGAGGAGAAGAGGAGAAGGAGGAGAGAAGATGAAGAGGAGAAGAGGAGGAGGAGAGACGAGGAGAAGAAGAGAAGAGAGGACGAGGAGAGGAAGAGAGGAGAAGAGGAGGAGAGGAAGAGGAGAGGAGGAGGAGTAGAGGAGGAGTAGAGTGGTGGTCTCACTCTGTTTGCTGAGGTCGCTGGGCAGGCTGTGGTTGAGGTTTTTGTAGAACTCGGTGCGGTGAGCTCTCTTCAACCCCGTACACAGACCGAAATCTGACAGCTTCACATGACCCTGAACACAACACAACACAACACATCATTACACACACATGTACACACAACACACACACAACACATCATTACACACACATGTACACAACACACAACACAACACACACACAACACACAACACACACAACACAACACACCGTTACACACACATGTACACAACACACAACACAACACAACACATCATTACACACATATACAAAGACCTGCAAATCATGTAAATAAATGTTTGTATTTCATCATATCTTGTGTTATTCCATCTTTGAACTGTTGATGAAGGGACAGGATTTAAAAAAAAAAAAAAAGTATTTAAAATGATAAAAATGTTCTTGGAAGGACTGACATATTTTATAGAAATAGTTTCTTTCATTTTGAAGTAATATTAAAGTTTTCAGAAGAAAAAAGCAACAAATGATGTAAAATCCTGCACCTTCTACTTGTTTGTACAATTTTCCCTCCGTTACTTTTCCCTCCGTTACCATGAACTTTCTTAATAAAAAATCTCATGAGTCAAAAAGTCAGAGGTTTTTCAACCTAATCTTGTACCATATGGTAGAAAACTATATGAAGCAAATATTCAAACCAGTTTGTTAAGGATATGGAAGTGAGAACCAAGAGTTATCACTGTTTGGATTTATTGACCAAAAAGTGCTGCATATTTCATTCCCTCCGTTACCGACATGAGTTTTTAAATTTTTTGTCTTGAACTTGAAAGAATCTCACAGGTTTAACTTGACCCTGTTGGAGTGTAACTCTTTCCTACATTCTGATACTTTACTTATTTCAATAGTTCCTCTAGTTTCTGAATAAGAGACATTTGAATGTCAAAAATCTGACCCCGTTTCCCTCCGTTAACACTTGACTGAACCCAAATATAAAACACTTTACCACATCAGACAGAAATTTTACAGGAACAAGTGAAGGAAAAGAGGAACGAGCAAAGCGAAACGGAGACGAGCTTCATTAACGCAGCTCCACAGATACGACTCGTACGTGAAGCGTTTTCTGCGACGTCAAACGCGTCGTAGGTGAATCTGCCGCGTCGTTGTTGTAGCAGCTTTAGTTCGGTGTCACGTGGGAGGGCGGCAGAAATACACTGCAATTTGTTTAAAAAAAAAACGCAGAATCTAAATCTAAAAACACTTCGGTGACAAATCCAAGGCCACACATCTGAGAAGGTAGAAAGATCTGAAAAGGTGATTTTGCATGAGATGGGCCCTTTAAATCTCTTAAATCTGTAAAATGTCTCAGTTAAAAGGGAGCAGATAACAGAAGATTATTCTTATTCTGCTCCATTTTCTTGGACGTTTGTCTTTTTATACTTTATGAATTAAATAAACACACACACACACACACCCAAAGCCCGCGGGGAAATCACATTCAACTCTTGCCTAATCATGACCTTTTTTAACCAATATCTTAACTTTAAAAGGACGAAATTACACTATTTTCTGATCTAATGTCGTTTCTTCATCACAAACAGAGCTGGAGTTGTGTTTTGTTTCATTCACACAAGTTTAACTCTTTCCCCATGAAGACGACATTTGACGACCCCCCTGTTCCCTTAATGACGACTTTTGTCTCCTCCGCTGTTTCACTAAAGACGTGATTTGACGACCTTTAGAAATGGCTCGGTTTTTCACATGTAAACAGAGGCTGTGATAGGTCGGGGCCACTACAACCCACACTAGACTGACCAATAGGATTCAAGGAGATGTTTTCGCCGATTTTTTCCGAACTTAATCGAAGTAGTGACGATGGAGCTTCCGGAAAAAACACAACACGAAACACGTGCAATGGAAAGATCGCGGCGCTGCGGCGCACAGTTTTAGAAATAATGAGGAGCGGACGTATTTTATGGATAAGTTTAGAGAAAGTGACTTTTATAGATTTCAAAGTGATGATGTTGAAGTTGATTATAAAGTGGAAAACAGCGACAGCGACGGACTTTCGGGGAGAAGGTGAGAATGTCGCTGATGCGTCTGTGTGGAGTCCTGCGATGTCCAAACAAACTATCTGAGCTTTATACTCGATTATGAACCAAAATTGCCCTGAAATCTGGATGTTGCCCAGGCCAGTCCTTTAAAATATTTCAGTCTTTTTTTCCAAGATGCAACGTTTAACAGAATCACTACAGAAAAAACGCTCTGCGCACGAGAAAACAGCCAAGATGACAAAGACTGGACTCACACTGACGGGGAAGAGTTTTATTATTATATTATTATATTATAATAAGCTAAATTAGTTGAATAAGCTAAATGAGTTGAATAAATAAAATAAGTTGAATAAGTTAAATGAGTTGAATAAGTTAAATGGAAAAAAATGAATTAGGTGCACACAGGTGTCAACAGGTAAAAACAGGTGAACACTTGGCTCTACTGTATCTGCTGATATGAAATCTGTTTAAATACTTTGACAAAGTATATTTTTTATTTTTTTATAGATATAGTTCTCAGAACATGCAGATATCAGATGCTGAATGTAGTTTTTTGTTTTCGAGTTTGCACCTGACCAGGTAAACTCATTTTCAGTGAGTTGTTATAAACCTGTAAATGAGTTGAATCACATTTAAACATCCATAAATGAAGAGTTCAGAGTCTGAGGTTTCCAGAGATACAAATATGTCTGTGTTACAATGAAGTTCATGAGTGTAAAAATCATTTATAATCACTGGTGGAAGTCTGTTTTCTTTTATGCAGTGATGCTCTATGGGTGTAGCCCTAGTAACATATGTCTGGGTTGTTCCTAGTCGGCGTCCAGGGGGGAAAGAGTTAAGACACAAAACTAAACTCCAGGTCTGTTTTTGAGGCGGGAACAGCTTTAGAACCTGACTTAAATCTCACAGGAGCCAGTTTTGTGTGATGTAGGAGCTTTAGATGTTTCCTGTCCCAGTCTAAACCCTGCAGCAGAGAGAGCGGAGAGAGAGTGGAGAGTCTGACCCTGGAGTCGAGCAGCAGGTTGTCCGGTTTGATGTCTCTGTGGATGAAGCCGAGCTGGTGGATGGAGTCTATGGCCAGGACGGTCTCCGCGATGTAAAACTGTGTGGCCTCCTCACTCAGAGTGTCCATCTTCATCAGGAGGGTCATCATGTCTCCTGGAAAACACAAACACACAAACACAACGTTAGAGGGTGAATTTGGAGCCGGGTTTGTATCAGGAATATTTACCTCCAGGCAGGAACTCCATGATGAGGTACAGATTCATTTTGTCCTGGAAGCTGTAGAACATCTTGACGACCCACAGACTGTCGGCCTCCACCAGGATGTCCCGCTCCGCCCGGATGTGACCCAGCTGCACACAATTTAAAGGTTGTATAGAGGATTTTTTTAAGGGAAGAGAAATAGCGACAGTCCTTGTGCGCGTTCAGAATCACTGTTGAAGTTTCCTGTCTAGAAGTAATTCAGCGACCGACGCGTCAGTTTTTAGACCCTTCGTCTGCTTCGGTCGCGCCATCGCTGGACGAGATCTCCAAGAATCACCTCAGTTTGTCTTTGCTCCTTTTCCCCTTCTCTTCTTCTTTCTGCGACCTCAAAAACAGACTTTCTTCTGCGGCGAACCGGTCGTGGATTCTCGTCCGCCGTCGCGACAAACTTTGTGCGAAATGCGAGGAAGCGACAGTTCGAAAAAGCCTCTAAGAACCGCTGCATAAACCACATAATCCCCGCACTCCGACGAGTCAGTTATACTATGGAGTTTGTTTGACAACCTAACAGCCAATAGAAAATGAGGGAGCCTCGTTTTCTATTGGCTGATGTTTATCTGGCCTCAACACGTCCACAGTTGATAGATTTTCATTCTTTTTTTTTTTTGGTCATCATAATTACAAAGCTGCTGCGTCTCTGTAATGGTATTTTAATCTTTGACTGACAGTTTGAAACAAAAAAAAAATCCTCCATACAACCTTTAAGAGCAGAAATGAAGCTGTGTCGATGTGAGGAGCGATCAGAACGTCACAACACAGGATCATTCACAGTCGGACCAGTGCAGTGTTTACCGGTGTAGACACACGGGTGAACTGTTAATCTGTGTGTTCTGGAAAAGTCCAGAACAGCCGTCCGTCTGCCGCACTAACAGCAGAGGGCGCTAATATGATATTTGCCCATTTGTTAAGCATAAATTGCATCGCCCTAAAAGGTGACAAAAAAACAAAACAAAAAAAACAAAAAACAGCGAGTCACTCGTTTTCAACACACGTCAAAGACATTGAACAGAAAATGTGAGGAGAAAAGAGGACGGGAAAAGGTTAAAGACAAAACAGCAAAACAAAATGAAGCAGAAAAATGCTGTTTCATTTTGAAGTGACTCAGCTTTGCAGCAGTTCTGCCCCATGCTGGTCTGTTTGTGGGGGAAAAGTCCAGGGCTGTTTTTTGGTCTGGGAACAGGGACAAACCGGGAAGTGGGAGATTTCAGGAGGTTTCCAGAGCTTTACCCCTTCAGAGGATCATGTCAGTTCTTTCATTATTGGTTTGATTTTGATTTTTTCTACCATGTGACGTATTTGTGTCGGTCACAGATTTAGACAGAGGGAGCTGTAAGTCTCCTCTGTAGTGAACTGCCCCCTGTACCGACCTGCTCCCCACACTGACCCGCTCCCCACACTGACCCGCTCCCCACACTGACCCGCTCCCCACACTGACCTGCTCCTTCTCCAGCATGTCGGCCTTTCGTAGGATCTTCATGGCGTAGACGTGTCCTGTGTCTTTCTTCTGCACCAGTCGAACCTGAAACACAAAGAAACATGTCCTGTGTTCAGTTTTATATCATGTTTTGTCTCTGGCTTTTAACACCACGTGAGTCGTGTGCTCCTGTGTGTCTTTTATTTTATTTTATTTATTCATTTATTTTTTATAAATAAAAAAAAAAAAAACTGTTTATAGCTTTATGTTTTTTAACATTTTTTTATTTATTGTTTTTATTTATGATTTACTGTCTTTTATTGTACGGGGGACGTAGGCTTGTGGGCGGAGCCTCGTACAGACTTACTTATAAGGAGGGTTTGAATAGGGCCCAGGAGAGATCACCAAATTACTCAAACACAACATCGATTTTGTGCAATACCTCCTCATTATAAATGTGAAAAACACAACTAGTTCATTAGAAACTGTTTCCATTGGACGTTTTTTACAACTCAAGAGACAAGAGACAATAAAACTAACAACAACTTCAATTATCAACATAAAGCCGTTAAATCATTGTATTGTATTCTTTTCTTTGCGTTTATTGTATTCATCTTTTTAAATGACTTGTAATGAACCCGAGTCTTTTCTCTTTTCTTATGTAACAGCCCCAGAGGCGACTCGTGTTTGGCGTCGTGCCCGTCTCAGAACAAAAACCCGGCCGTGCCCTCGCCGCTCCGACAGGTTCCACACTGGATTACTTATTAGAATAGACTTTATTATGTAACATTTATTTTTAACCCTGTTTTCAAGCTCTGGAGATGGATCGATAAGGGGATTTTTTTTCTGACGCTGTTTGTTTGGAACTCAAGAAAACTGTGGCTGATGTTTTTGAGGTGATATTTTTGGCAGATTTTTATTATTTTCCACAAATTTGAACAAACTCTCAGCTCCAGGTATGAAATAACACTCTAGGTCTGAAAAAAAGAACCTAATAACATATAAACTCTCAGCTCCTTTTCACCACAAACCTTTAATAGAGCTGTGGTTTTGTAAAGTTTTTTGTTCATACTAAAGGTTTTGTGGGTATTTTTAGGCAAAAGATTTAAAACCGAAACAATAAAAGTCCAAATATGGGTCTCTCTCAGGTTTTATGTTTTGCCTGGTCATGTTCCTCAGAGTTGTTCTGAATCACGCAGGTTTTTCTTGTTTTTTTCTTTTTCCTGCGTTTGACTTGAGAGCTTAGAAAATGTGTTTTCACCTTCCCCCTATCTCCGCCCACTTCTCTGTACTTTTTTGTGATTATTTAAAGGATTCAGACTCTGGTCAAAACTGTGTAAAAGCCACATTAAAATCTTTCAGTTCTGCAGTGTTTAAAGGAAGTCAGTGCACCTGTTTGTTTCAATAAAAGGTCTTGTATTACAGAAAATGGACTTTTGTGAATTTTAAACCGTGTTCTAATGTTGTTCCCTCCTCAAAAACAGACGTGGACTTGTGTTTTTTGCTTTGTTCTAAGTCTGTGCATTTAATTATAATCAAGTAGAAACAATTTACATGCCGGGGAAAGTGAGGACTGGGGCACAACGACCGTAGTTTTGCGAGGATTCACCTGAGTATCATTCAGAAGCTGCCGATACGATACATACCTCGATACACATCTCAATACAGTGAGCTGTCGATTCGATACGATCTATTCCAAATCAATTCGATACGGTTCAATAAAAAAAGTCTAAATCATGTCTGTGACACTAAAAGTCTTTGTTAAACCACTTCTTGTGCAAAGTTCATAAGAAACACAAACATTTTAATCATCAAAACAGTGAAAATGTCAAATGTATCGCCTCTGAACAAACAACAAAACTGGAACTGGAACAAAATAAATAAGTAAAATAAACCAAAATATTCTCTTGGTGATATATCGATACAGCAGCCCACGATATCGATACTGAATCATCACTTTAAACCAGTGGTGCTCAATACGTCGATCTCGATCTACCAGTCGATCGCCAAGGTCGTGTGGGTAGATCTCCGTGTCTCGTCTCAGACTCGCGTTTGGACTCGGTCTTGTCTCTCACTCGAGGTGTGACACTCAACAAGTGTGATCATATTTCATTCCGGCCGCTGCTGTTGGTAATAAACTTGTAGCGGGTGCAGGAGCGTGTGGGGCGTCTCAGTGCGGCCTGTGCGCTCATTTGAAACCCGCGGAGACTCTACGGCGCATCACAAACACACACGCTCCCTATGCACGGCTCGTCTGCGACAGCGTGTGCCCTCGTGTACCAGCGTGCATCACAGGGCAGGTTCAACTTCCTAAACATCCTACCTGTCCATCTGCCTCACGTCAGCACGCCGCCCCTCGCCTTTTCACGCTCTCGCTCCTTCCTGCGTACAGCCAACACAAGCCCCTCCCACAGTGCGGCTGATTAGAAGAGCAAGACCAAACGTGAAGCAAAAACCAGTCTAAATTTGTGTTCCAGTGTTGGCACAAAGCAGGTCTACAGCATAGAGCGGATCTACAGAACAGACCTACTGCCACATTTGGCTGAAGTTTGTCTTACAAAAGTGACAAATGCATCTGTGTTTGTCACGATGTGCGTTTGGTTTGGTAAACGTGCAGAGGCTGGTAAATATCACTGCAAAACCAGAAAAGAATGAAACTCCAGTTTGGAACTTTAAAAAACAGGTTTAAAAATCTTCCTTCACTTTTTTCACAGTTTTGTGTAAAGTGCCAGAGGAAGTTCTCTTAAAGAAGAGGTTCAAACTGTGGGGGAGGGTCCAGAAAAGGGCCACAGAGTGTTTCAGTGCAGTTTGTTTGACTTTGTATTAGGTAGATCTTTTTGACTTGGTCATTTTGTAAGTAGGTCACATGATGAAAAAGTGTGAACACCTCTGCTTTAAACTATGCAATATATCGCTATTTTGCTATTTTAATATGTTTGCAAACTCCTACTCCTGGTGCCGTATGCTCTGAGTAACGTGGAGCGACGGTTCTGATGATCTCCACAAACTCACAGAGGAGAGTGTCGCAGGAGGAGTCACGTCTGTCTCACTGTTTAATCAATATTTCTGCCGCTGGACTTATTTTTTCCTCTAACGCGTTCACTCTGCCCCACATGTAAACAAATGGCTCAGTTCAGTTCTGCAGGTCTGAGTGTGGATCATAGAACCCACAATAATCGGCACGGTTCTAAACTCCAAGCGTGAGTCAACCTAAAGCTTAACAAAGTTTATTTTGTGATTTTTTTTTTATATATAAATAAATATATTTATTTTATTTTCAAATATAGAGATTGGAGAAGAGCTGGATAGAGAGTTTATTTTGGTACATTTATGTTTTGCTGCTGTTGTGGAATTTGTTTTAGATCAACTACAAGACCTGTGACCTGACAAAGACAACCACCGTGAACGGTCTGAACCAGGAGATAACGTTCCACCAGGACCAAATCGAAAGCACCTTCCTGAACACATGGTCGTCTCCTGGGCAGAATAAGACCTGCATCATTTAACCATCCTTCTGCTTTACAACTGTCACTGGAGAAAAACTTCACAAAAGTTCAGCCATCCACAACTTTTCAAAACTTGTTCCTCTCGTGCTCAACCACAGCCCTGAAGATGGACACATGGGCCAAAGGATGACTGCAGAGACGAGCTGTGGCTCAGAGAGAGGCCAAGCTGCGTGGGGAGACTAAAGCCATGTGTGGTCAAAGGGAGGACAAAGGGACAGAGGACAAAGGGACAGAGGACAGGCAATATTCTACTTGTGACTACAAATCATATTGGAAATGGACAAACTGAATAAAACAATCCTCCGTAAAAGTGAACGGTTGAATTTGCCTCCAACTAATGGAACTCACTTTAACTCCATGGACTGTTTTAAATCCACAATGTCTTTCCACATATTGTGTGTGTGACAATGACTGTTTATGAAGTATGATTAATGAATAATCAAAAGGGAGAATGTGTGATAGAAATTTAGATTGTGGAAAGATTTCTCTCAATCTGTCTTGTGTAAATTAATGTGATTTCTACCTGAAACCCAGACCAGTCATTAAAGGTTGTATGGAGGATTTTTTTTTTGTTTCAAATTCAGTGATAGATTATAGATGCAGTCGCCTTGTAATTATGATGACCAAAAAAAAGAGAATAAAAGTTCATCAACTCTGGACATGGTGGGGCTAAACATTTGCCAATAGATAACGACACTGCCTCGTTATCTGTGAGCTGACAGGCTGTCAATCAAACTCCCTACGTTTCTAGTGTAACTGACTTGCCTGCGCCGCCGGTACGTGGTTTACATACGCCTGTCACACAGTCCACAGACGCTGTTTACTCCACCAACGCAACAGTTCTTAGCGGCTTTTTTGACCTATATCTTCCTCGCAGTTCGCACAAAGTTTGTTGCGATGGCGACAAGAATCCAGGAGCAGTTCGCCGCAAAAGAAAGTCCGTTTTTGAGGTGAAAGAAGAAAACAAGGGGAAAAGCAGCAAAGCCAAACTAAGGTGATTCTTGTAGATTCATTCCAGCGATGGCGCGACTGAAGCAGACGAAGGGTCTAAAGACTGAACCACTGGTCCACAAATTACTCCTGGACAGGAAACTTCTGCTGATTATGAAAACGTACTTTATTTCCAAGAGCGAGACAAATGTTTTTCAGGACACGAAAGCGATATCCTATGTCTGAAAACGTCATTTTCAAGGCAAAGAAAGAGTCCGCTTGCTGCTGCGTGTTGTAGTTAGTTCATTCACACTGAATCTCCGCGCACCTTCTCTGCTCCCCTTTCCTGCTCCTGTCCCCACTGCCCGATCCACTCTTCTCCCTGCTCCTCACTTCTCCGGGCACGAAATCTCCGCGCACCCGCTCCCCTCTCTCTCTCTCTCTCTCTCCTCTCCCTGCTCCCTGCTCCGCTCTTCTTCCTGCTCCTCACTTCTCGTCCGCGAACGAAATGTCCGCACACCCGCTCCTCCCGCTCCTCACTTCTCCGTCTTGTCTAACCAACACTGTAGTTAGTTGTTTACAAGTCATGTGCAGCACCGGCTGTAAACAAACCTGTTTCTGGTGTAAAGAGGAGGAGAGAGGAGGTGTTTCTACGTAGGAGCTGTAGGGGAGGGGGGGTGGTTTCACACATGCGCAACATTTGAAAAAGGACAAACAGTCGCTGGATTTCTCCTTCCTTGGAAAATCCTCTATACAGTCTTTAACATGTGTAAAGGTTCATCAGGCACAACTGTCTCCGCCTTCAGGAAGCCTTTTGTTATCATCAACTGTATGTTCATTTAGCACCAGCCTCTGAAACCAAACTCACTCTGCATTGACATGTATGTAACTTGTATTTCTGTATAAATACTCAGAGCTCAAAGGCTCTGGAGGGACATGGGGGAGATGGGGGGAGAGACAAGGTGAGAGGCTGTTGGGCTTTGGCCGAAACAGGCCGAGGCTCTGTCCATATCTGCTGTAACAAGAATAAACCTCGGTCTATATTCCAAAAACTCATCGGGCTTCGCAAATGGATTCATTATTTATCTTCAAGAGAGATAAATCTTTTCCACAACACTGCCTTATTTCATGTTCAAAGTTTTATTATTATTTTATTCATTTTATGTTTTAAACATCGCAAAACTGCTCTAAGGTTCAGATTTGTAGCTGATTTTATTTTTTTTACTTTTTATTTATTTTTAATTTATATTTATTTATTTGAAAGTTTTGCACAAATTATCAATAACAAAGTGTTTTGTTTTTTTTTAAAGAAAAATGCTGAATAAAAGCATCATGCAACTAAAAATTTATCGTTTGAATAATCGTGATATCAACATTGACCAAAATAATTTATTCCATAATAAGCAGGTCTACTCTTTTCCACCTTGTGATGTCATGAAGTGGTAGTTAAACATGTGTGAATGAAACAAAACACAACTCCAGGTCGGTTTGTGATGAGGAAACGACATTAAAACATCAGAAAATGGTGTAATCTGGGCACTTTCAGTTGTTTCAAATCATTATTCTGGTTTTAATGTTTGTAAAGTGTCTCCTTAAACCTCGCCGTGGACTGTCCAGTGCTCTGACCTCTCCAAACGCTCCTCGTCCGATGACCTTGAGAGACTCGAAGTCCTCCAGGCCGAGGCGGGTTCTCTTCAGACGCAGGAACTCGGTCTCTTTGCGAGCGTGCTGAGAGCGCCGCATTCGTTTCTGCTAACACACACACGCACACGGGTTAGAGTCACACACAAGGGAATTTATTTGAACCTTTGTCTCGTGGAGTGTCCGGTGTATTTGTCTCCATGGAGATGTTATTTCTTTCCCTGGAATGTTCCACGGTGTGACATTAAACATACACAGAAAACATTTATTCACTGTGAGTTTCTAGAGTGTTGCTCATGTTACAGCGACACACCAAAAGGGTTTGACCAGTAAAGATCACTAAATTATTCAAACACATCAACTTTGTGTAATACGCCCTAGTTCAGGGGTGTCAAACATACGGCCCGGGGTCCAGATCCGGCCCTCCGAGACCTTTAATGTGGCCCTCGGCTGATTTTCTACTCAAATATTTTAATTATATTTTGTATTAAAATCGTGTTAATTTTCTGTGGTGTTTATCACAGCAGCGTCTCTGTACGTGGCCCCTCCCACCAGAGCAGCACAAATGAAGACTTGTCTCTTTCCAAACGCTCTTAAAGGACGATCGTTTTGACTGTTGACCGTGACACCCTCATCAGAAAAATGTCCAACATGAGAAAAGTGGAGCCGAGTGCAGGATTTTACAACAAAAATGGACTTATTCCTGTTTAAGAAAAATAGAATTTCAACACAAAGTTTTAACATGAACTTGTCTGTAAAGTTTCAGGTTGTTCATAATATTATAATATTTTGTAAAAGAAAGAGTTCATCAATTCAAAAAGATTTCTGTAGTAGATTTGTGTTTCTCTGCACAAATATTTGAACTTATTGTTATTTTTGGGGTTTATATGACATGAGTTTTCTGATCCGGACACTTTGGATCAAAGTCGGTTGGACACGACCCCGGAACAAAATGAGTTTGGCACCACTGGTTTAGTTCAATTTAAATTAGGGATGGGCATGATTAGTTGATTAATCGATAATTAATCATTAAGAATTTCATCGATTACGTTCATTTTAATGGACAAACTGAATGTATGTTTGTGTGTCGGGACCAAACAGGTGTGTACATGTGTCTCTGCATCAGAAGGAGCGAGACACAAACAGTGGGTCAGTCTGTAACGAACCGAAGCACAAATGTGGATTTAACCAGGATTTGTAGAAGAAATTCCACACTTTCCGTTGCGTTGGGACAAGTGTGAGTCCATGTGCACAGTGGATAAAGCAGCACATATGTTTCTGTGTCCAGTGGGAAAAAGTTTTTCCAGGTGAGAGTCGCTCAATGTGGATGACGAGGCCCCGCCCCCCTCCCCCCGTACGCTGTCCTGGTTTTGACAAACACAAATCTGGTCACACTGACCTGTATTCACCTGAGTCATGTCTTTTAATCCAACACAAGTTGAACCACATCAGCGACACAAGAGCTGGAGTTTTATCTTCACTTAGTTTATGTAAATTAGTGATGTGGTTTTAAGTTTTGTTTCTGTGAGATTTGAACAAAACTGAATTAAACACATTATAATGTCAAACAGCTGATGTGGATCTAGAGTCGTTATGTTTATATGTCGTAAAGTTGAATTTATTGATGCAGATTAGTGCAGATAGTAATAATAATAATGATGATCATTTTAATATAAAAACGTTAATGATTAATCGATAATCGATCGTTAATTCTTCCGACGATCGATTAAGAAAATTTCATCAAATGCCCGTCCCTAATTTAAACGTTTCGCAGTAGACGCTTTTTACAAGTGTCAGAGACAAGAGTGTTTTGTCGTCACAAGAGGCAGGTCTCTGTGATGTGTGTGTGTGTGTGTGTGTGCAGATTTAAGAGTGACACAAATCCCTGTTCAGGAGACTGTAGAGTAATAACACACACACACACACAGAAACACACACACACACACAGAAACACACACACACACTCCTCTGAGGATTACACAGTTCTAGGTCAGAGTTGTCACTGACCTCTTCATCAGGCAGTCCCTCCTGGTCCATCACCTTCTCCAACTTCTGCTGCCTGCAACACAAACACACACAAACACACACACACACACACACACACACAAACACACACACAAACACACACACAAACACACACAAACACAGGGCGTTAAACTGGGCATCGGACATAAGCCATTCACGAAATTACTGTATCGGAAGTCATTTTTGGGGGTAAATATTATACATTTAGAATAGTTTCGGGCTATAGGCGAGTTTCAGCTGATGTCATTGTTATTAAAAGCCCGCGTTGCTGCTGGGAAATATTTTGGTCGGAGGCAAGAAACACGGTAGCGTCAAACACAGTGTGTAACCTCACGTATTTATCCCCGATAATGGTAAATTCCTGCTGCATTATCGGACGCACAAATAGAAACACGGAAGAAGGAAAATGTCTTTTTCGTATTCTGAGTGAAAAGAACCACTAACGGTGAATTAAACGACTTTCAAACATCCGCAGAGCAAACGTAGAAGATCCTAACAAACCGTGGACTCCAACAAGTTCAACAACACATCCAGACTCTTGGAGGTTTTCATCTTTTCTGCTGTGAATGGCCCAGGAGTTTCCACCAAGTCATTGTGGATGTCGCCCAAGTGAATATTTGTCCAGGTAGTTGGAGATTCTGACCAGAAGTTTGGTTTGGTCCAGACTCTGTCGGGGTTGAAAAGGGTGATTTGTCGTCCGTCGATGTTTATGACCAATTTCTGGTCAAATGGTCTTGGGTCGTCTGCCGTTAGACTGGATAAATAACCAGGATCAATACCCTTTACGTGCTTTCTCGCTCCGTCCGTCATGTTGAATTAGTGTTTCTTGCCGCCGACCAAAATAAATCCCAGCATGCAACGCGCTTTTGTCAACAATGAAACTCGCCTATAATTCTGGTTTGTGTTCAGTTCCCATGTTAGTGTTGATTGTCTATTAGGGATGTAACGATATCCAAACCTCACCGTACGATATTTTCACGATATTTTGTGGAGGTGAACAATATGCTACTTGACAAGACTAAGAGTTTAAAGTGTTAGAATTGTTATTTCTTCTTGTCGTCTGCACTGAAACAGAGCAAAGCATCATGGTCTATGTAGTTCCCTCTGTTTTTTTAGCTGTTGCTGCATCATAACTTTTAATTTAAGCAAAAAAAAACTTGTGATTCGATATATTGTGATGGTCCACGACATTATTGAGAGATCTAACGATACGATATCACGATATTTCGGTCATTGTTACACCTCTATTATAAAAAATTTGAGATTTCACAGGCCAGTTTTTTTTTTTTTTTTTTTTGCCACTTCTTGTTGAAATAACCTCGCATTTTTACAGAATGTACAGGAACCGATCAAAATTGTATATTGTGTCTTGGAATCTGATGCACACACTCACCCAAAACTGTGCAGCTTCAATGCAAAATTTGGAAAAACGTCACCAACTGGCAAAGAAATTTTGGACTTTGTGCCAAAAATGTAAAGAGGAAGGATCTTATTCAGGGCTAAAGGATCTGGCAGAGCAACATCTTCGTCGTCCTTGAGCGAGACTTGGTGGTTTTCAAGATAACTGCTTTTAAAATGATGTCAGATTTATGTCAGATGTTATTGTGACAGGTTTAATCACACACAGCGTCAGGTGAACGGGAGAGTGAAGGAGCAGGAGGCAGAGAGACGGTTTAGGTTTCTGTGTCGGTTTGTGAGATCTCTGCTCAGTTTTTAGACTTTTCTTCGAGCCTGATGCAGAAACAGCTCAAACAAACAAATGAGAAAAGTGAGAAAAGTCTGTGTGTGGTTCTGATCTGAAGCCGAGTTCACACCGCAGAGACAAAAACACCAAACGCCTCTTCGTTGGAGGGAAAACGCTTCAGACTCGTCGGCGTGTGGTGAATTTAAACTCCGACGCCGCGGTGTTTCGTCTTTTGATCAGTTCCAGCGGGCTCCAGGCCAGAGTCACAGCACAGAGACGAGCTTTATTTAAAAGAGCTCCAGAGTAAAGACCCACGACTGCAGAGATCAACTCAGGTCAGAAAAACTCTAAAGAAAAACGAGAAGAAGAGAAGGACGCGCACACAGACCTGTCACACTAACACTACACTCACTGATCCTTTAATATATGAAACATGGACAGTTTCTTTGCGAAAGTTTGGAGATTTTGGATATTTTTGTTGTAATATGACAAGGTTTGAGCTGTAGCAGAGAGTAAGTCACTTCTGTAGATAATTATTATTTCATTCTGTTATTTATTTATTCCAGCTCAGACATTTTAATGATTCTTTTTACTTTAAAATGGTTCACAGGGATTAGACAACAGACTACGGACACATTATACACACGACACTCGACCAGTAAAGTCTGGACTCACTCATTCAGTGGTTTTTTTTTTCTGTGTTTCTACATTTCATAAAAATGGGCCAGTGAAAATATAAGGGCAAAATGTGCAAATCTGGTTTATTCTAGAATATATATGTATATATTTTATAATTTTCGTATTTGCCCCTTGAAAAAAACGTTGATTAAAAAAAAACATTTTTCTGCATTTAAAGCCAGAAACGTCTTCAAAATATTGTTAAAATTTTATTACTTATTTAATTTAAAATAACTTATATTTAAAATGATGAAAAACACAAACTGAAATCTACAAATAAAAGGAAAACAAAAAAAACAAAAAAAAAGCTTCATTTCAATTTCACAATTTGCCCAAATGCGAAACTCTCAACTCTAGTAAAAAAAAATTCCCCATAAAGAGTAAATCACTTCAAAATTGGATAAAACTTAAGCATGTTTGCACTTTCCCTCTTTAAATTTAAGTTATGTAAAAAAAAAAATAAAAAAAATAATGTCAAAACAAACTTTTTCTGATGCGTTTCACAGAAATATAAATGTTTCACTTTATGACAGAAACAGTTTTACCGACTGACTGTTCAACTGAAATAAAAAGAAAGTTGTCTTTCTTTTGAAACTGATAAAAACTCAACCAAATCCCACTAACAACATTTACTTAATTAATTTTAATATTACTTTTAATAAGTGATTTTGTCAGTTTTTATCGTTTCCGTAAAAGTTCTCTCTGATTCTGCGTGTGACCCGTTTCACTGAATGACATTTTAATTATTTAAACCTGTAATGTTCTTTCACATTTGGTTTCTTCTTCCAAATGTTTATTGGTAAAACTGAAGTGATATCTGAAGTGAGAGCCATAAATGTTGCTTCATATATTTGATGTGTTCGGTTTCTTTAAATGTACAAAGAGGTGAGTAAAAATAAAGCCTGTCCAGCGTGTGTCCAACCTTTGACTGGTCGTGTCGTTATAATCTGATCGTTTATTGTCGTTTATCTCTGAAAACATCGCACATTATTTGTTTTCATGACAGATTCACAGAGACGAGACGAGGAGCAGCTCAGAGGAATCACACACACACACACACATGAACTGAAACTGAAGAGTCTGGACTACATCTCCCATAATCCCTCTCTCCTCTCTTACCTCATCTCTCGCTCCTCGTGTTGGGCGATGAGGTTGCTGTAGAAGTTCTCCAGCGTCACTTTGGCCATGTTGACGCGTTCCTTGGTGTGGTTGCTCATGGGGGGGCAGGGGCTCTGGCCCGGCATTGCCATGCTTTATCTGAAAACACACAGAGGGGGGCAGAGGTCAGAGGTCAGCGGGGGGGCAGAAGTATCGGAAATCAGTGAAGAATCCCTCCGTCGTCCAGGTAGAATCCACAGCGAGGAGAAAATTCAGTTTGTCGACTGCTGCAAAACGTCTTCAACCAAACTAACTTTTGTTCAGTCGACAAACTGAATTTTCTCCTCGACATCAGAAATCAGATAATAATCGATAATAAAAACAACGATATATAAATCCCTCGATACGATATTTTCACCAAACACATCTCAGGGTTTGACGTTTATGGAGATGTTTAGAACAAAAGAAACAAAAACTGGCACAAAGTTCAGCCTCAGGAGAAATAAACTAAAAGTTTAGTCCTGGTTCAGTCCTGGTTCAGTCCTGGTTCAGTCCTGGTTCAGTCCTGGTTCAGTCCTGGTTCAGTCCTGGTTCAGTCCTGGTTCAGGCCTCACTTAATCCTTGTTTAGTCTTGGTTTAGACCTGGTTCAGTCCTGGTTCAGTCCTGGTTCAGTCCTGGTTCAGTCCTGTTTCAGGCTCACTTAACCAGGACTGAACTAGGACTAAGCTAGGACTATTGTTTCAGTCTTAATTAGGGACGGGCATTCGATGAAATTTTCTTAATCGATCGTCGGGAGAATTAACGATCGATTATCGATTAATCATTAACGTTTTTATATTAAAATGATCATCATTATTATGACTATCTGCACTAATCTGCATAAATAAACTCAACTTTACGACATATAAACATAACGACTCTAGATCCACATCAGCTGTTTGACATTATAATGTGTTTAATTCAGTTTTGTTCAAATCTCACAGAAACAAAACTTAAAACCACATCACTAATTTACATAAACTAAGTGAAGATAAAACTCCAGCTCTTGTGTCGCTGATGTGGTTCAACTTCTGTTAGATTAAAAGACATGACTCAGGTGAATACAGGTCAGTGTGACCAGATTTGTGTTTGTCAAAACCAGGACAGCGTACGGGGGGAGGGGGGCGGGGCCTCGTCATCCACATTGAGCGACTCTCACCTGGAAAAACTTTTTCCCACTGGACACAGAAACATATGTGCTGCTTTATCCACTGTGCACATGGACTCACACTTGTCCCAACGCAACGGAAAGTGTGGAATTTCTTCTACAAATCCTGGTTAAATCCACATTTGTGCTTCGGTTCGTTACAGACTGACCCACTGTTTGTGTCTCGCTCCTTCTGATGCAGAGACACATGTACACACCTGTTTGGTCACGACACACAAACATACATTCAGTTTGTCCATTAAAATGAACGTAATCGATGAAATTCTTAATGATCAATTATCGATTAATCGATTAATCATGCCCATCCCTAGTCTTAATTGATACTACATACTTTTTTTGGTCCTGGTTTAGTCCTAGTCTTAGTCCTGGTCCAGTCTGGTCCCAAACACAAAGGCTCAGTCCACTTCTCCAAACTTCTGCCTCTGCTCGACTCTTATGAAATAAAAGCCGCGGTTTTGTCTGAAAAAGGGAAGGAACTGACTGTAACCGATTTAGAAACACCAACTGTACAAGAGAACTCATCCCACCGCCCAAACAACCCGACACAACTCTGAAAAACATTTAACAATTAACTCTGGAAAAACTGTTTAGAATCAACTCTGTATGACACAAAATCCAGAACGAGACAGAACAGCAGGAGAAAGTTCCCTTATCTTTTTATCTGACATATTTTAATGAAATACAGCGTTAACAGTTTCCTAAAAGTCATTCAGAATAATTTTCTGAACAGATTCTGTGGCTTCCCAAGTTTCTTGTGTTGTGCTGTTTATAAATGATGTTCATGGCAGATGAGGAAATAATTCATATTTCTTCATATTTCTTCCCAAATCAACAGTTACAGATGCTCTTGGACAGACATGTCAAACTCAGGCCCAGGGGCCAAATTTGGCCCCCAGTATAATTATATTTGGCCCATGAGATCAAATCAAATCTGCATCAGAGCCGCCGCCGGCTACAGTTCATAATGCATCAGTTTATACAGCGCTTTTCTGGAAAAAGACACTTTACAGAGAATTATTCTTTTACTCCAGACCCAGTGGTGTAAACTACTACTGTAGCCACAGCCGCCCTGGGGCAGACTGACGGAAGTGAGGCTGCCAATCTGCACCATCGGTCCCTCCGACAACCATCATATACACACACACACCACTTTCAGACTAGGCAATGAGGGTGAAGTGTCTTGCCTAAGGACACAATGGTGCCTCCTGTGGCTCCTGATTTACCCAGAGTCTCCGTCCAAGTCCAGACCCGGACCTGCTGAGCCTGAGATCTGACAGGATCAGGCTTTGACTATAGAGACATGATTTATTTAAAATGTTAATTTTATTTTCTGTTTGTTCTGGATTCAATGTTTAAGCAAAACTATTATTAAATATTTATATTAATAAGAAAAGGTTTAACATTACAGATCTCGAAAGAAAACATGCAGATGGTGTTGGAATTTTGCAATAAATATTTAGTTTGACCCATGACTTCGTCCCAGTTTTTAATTGTGGCCTCTGTGAGTTTGAGTTTGCCTCTCCTGATCTAGGACATGGGGAACAAAACACAATGATTTAAAATACGATTTCAGTGAGGATTTTCAAATGAGGATTATATTGATATTACAAAATGAAAAAACATGTGCCGCTTTGGGAAGATCCATAAAATGACATACTGTAAAAAAAAAATATAATAATCGCTGGGTTTCAATGAACCACTGGGTCTCCTTTAAACGATGTGCGCAGGTGAATATTTTGATAAATAACTGCTGGTTCCAAATCAACACTGAGTCTAATAGAGTCGCTGCGGCTGCGGCCGAGGAGCTGCTCAAACTCCCACTAACTGTGGTGAAGTGGAGGAAAGTCCAGGGACGAGACGGCGGGAGTCAAGCCCACAAGGTCCACAAAAGAGTCACCAGCCCATCGTATAAAAGAGTTTGTATAAAAGAATCTGTATAAAAAAACACTGTATAAAAGAATATGTATAAAAGAATATGTATAAAAGAATATGTATAAAAAAACATCATATAAAAGAAATTGTATAAAAAACATTGTATAAAAGAATTTGTATAAAAAACATTGTATAAAAGAATTTGTATAAAAAACATCGTATAAAAGAATTTGTATAAAAATTGCGTAAAAGAATTTGTATAAAGAATTTGTATAAAAAAAATCTTATAAAAGAATTTGTATAAAAAACATCGTATAAAAGAATTTGTATAAAAGAATTTGTATAAAAAACATCGTATAAAGAATTTGTATAAAAGAATTTGTATAAAAGAATTTGTATAAAAAACATTGTATAAAAGAATTTGTATAAAAAACATTGTATAAAAGAATTTGTATAAAAGAATTTGTATTAAAAAAATCTTATAAAAGAATTTGTATAAAAAACATTGCGTAAAAGAATTTGTATAAAAGAATTTGTATAAAAAACATCGTATAAAAGAATTTGTATAAAAGAATTTGTATAAAAGAATTTGTATAAAAGAATTTGTATAAAAAACATCGTATGAAAGAATTTGTATAAAAAACATTGCGTAAAAGAATTGTATAAAAAATTTGTATAAAAACATCGTATAAAAAATTTGTATAAAAGAATTTGTATAAAAAACATCGTATAAAATAATTTGTATAAAAGAATTTGTATAAAAGAATTTGTATAAAAGAATTTGTATAAAAGTATAAAAGAATTTGTATAAAAAATTTGTATAAAAAATCGTATAAAAGAATTTGTATAAAAAACATCGTATGAAAGAATTTGTATAAAAACATTGCGTAAAAGAATTTGTATAAAAGAATTTGTATAAAAAACATCGTATAAAAAGAAATTGTATAAAAGAATTGTATAAAAAACATTATATAAAAGAATTTGTATAAAAGAATTAGTATAAAAAGAATTTGTATAAAAAACATTGCGTAAAAGAATTTGTATGAAAGAATTTGTATAAAAAACATTGCGTAAAAGAATTTGTATAAAAGAATTTGTATAAAAAAAATCTTATAAAATCATATGTATAAAAAACATCGTATAAAAGAATTTGTATAAAAGAATTTGTATAAAAAACATCGTATAAAAGAATTTGTATAAAAAAATTTGTATAAAAGAATTTGTATAAAAGAATTTGTATAAAAGAATTTGTATAAAAAAAATCTTATAAAACAATATGTATAAAAAACATCGTATAAAAGAATTTGTATAAAAGAATTTGTATAAAAAACATCGTATAAAAGAATTTGTATAAAAAACATTGCGTAAAAGAATTTGTATAAAAAACATCGTATAAAAGAATTTGTATAAAAGAATTTGTATAAAAGAATTGTATAAAAAAACATCGTATGAAAGAATTTGTATAAAAAACATTGTAAAAGAATTTGTATAAAAATAAAAGAATTTGTATAAAACATCGTATAAAAGAATTTGTATAAAAAACATTGTAAAAGAATTTGTATAAAAAATTTGTATAAAAACATCGTATAAAAGAATTTGTATAAAAGAATTTGTATAAAAAACATCGTATAAAAGAATTTGTATAAAAAACATTGCGTAAAAGAATTTGTATAAAAGAATTTGTATAAAAAACATCATATAAAAGAATTTGTATAAAAGAATTTGTATAAAAGAATTTGTATAAAAAACATCGTATGAAAGAATTTGTATAAAAAACATTGCGTAAAAGAATTTGTATAAAAGAATTTGTATAAAAAACATCGTATAAAAGAATTTGTATAAAAGAATTTGTATAAAAAACATTGTATAAAAGAATTTGTATAAAAGAATTAGTATAAAAGAATTTGTATAAAAGAATTTGTATAAAAAACATTGCGTAAAAGAATTTGTATGAAAGAATTTGTATAAAAAACATTGCGTAAAAGAATTTGTTTAAAAGAATTTGAGGACCATGTTTATCTCGTCTTATCTCATGTTCTAAAGTTGTTCTGTCGTCACACACAGAGCTGCACTTGTGTTTTGTTTGATTCAGACAGTTTGAGTAACTCTTTTATTATGAGTCTGTTTACATCTGCAAACCCCAAACTCTCTGTTCCACCTTGTTGTATCTGGTAGTTTTCAAGATAAAAACTATATTTTACATTTTGTCCAGCAGAGACGCAAATCAAGTCTAAGTTCATATGAAACACAAACATTTTAAGGATTAAAACAGTGAAAATGTCAAATGTGTCGCATAAACAAGTTTCCAACAAGAAAACTGTAGCTGGAACTAAATAATTTTGTAAAATAAACCAAAAAAAAAATCCTTTTGGTGATATATCGATACAGCAGCCCATGATATCGATACTGAATCATCACATTAAACGATTAAATGAAAATCTGGTCACACTAACCAAACCAAAGATGTTCATTTGTTTTTCTCATGTCCTTTAACTTCTCGTGTTATTATTTTTTTTAAGACAATACAGTAAAGTGTAAGTCTGTGCAATAAATTGAATTCCGATTGCGATTTCAATTTGTGTGACAAACGATCTCCAAACTCATTTAATCGAGTTTAAATGAAGCTTAACAAAGTTTATTTTAGGATCTTTTTTAAAAAAAATATAAATAAGTATATTTATTTTATTTTTAAATAGAGACTGTAGAAGAGCTGGACATTTAGTTTATTTTGGAGGTATTTATGTTTTTCTTATGTCTTATTTAATGTTCAAAGTTTATTTAATTCATTTTATGTTTTATACATCACAAAACTGCTCTAAGGTTCAGATTTGTAGACTATATTTATTTTCAATTTGAAAGTTTTGCCTAAATTATCAATAAATGTTTTGGGTTTTTTTGAGAGAACTGTTGATTAAATGCATCACGTAACTAAAAATAATCGACTGAACACTCGTGATTTCAATATTGACCAAAATAATCGTGATAAAGATTTTTTTCAATAATGGAGCAGCTCTAGTAAAAAGTATTTACCTTATTTACATGTTTCTAAACACGTCAACAAAGTAAATATTAGGGCTGGTATCGTTAAGAAGTTGCCGATACGATACAGACCTCGATACAGTGAACTTTTAATTCAATATGATATTTTTCAAAACGATTTGATACAGTTCAATAAAAAATAATGGGTAAATCATTAAAACGATATAAACCTCACGGTACGATATTTATTGTGATATTTTAAAGAGGACAGGACACTTTATTTACTTTTAAAATACCTTGACAAGATTTTGGTGCAAATTATTTCCGTCATAATCTCAAGAATTCAAGTAAAAACATATTTTTTCATGTTGTCTGCGCTGAAATGAATCGTGGGAAATGTAGTTCCCCTTGGTCATAAACTTGCTTCTATAAAACCATGAATTTAAGTAAAGCAGTTTATTGTGACGGTCCACGATATTACTGTGAGACTTCACAATATTTTGGTTATTTTTAAATCCCTATAACTTGTGCGTGATACTAAAAGTCTTTGTTAAATCACTTCCTGTGCAAAGTGAATATGAAACACAAACCTTAAAATAATCAGAACAGCGAAAATGTCAAATGTGTCGCATAAACAAGTTTCCTTCCTCTGAACAAACAACAAAACCGGAGCTGGAACTAAATGATTTAATAAAATAAACCAAAAAATACTCGATACAGCAGCTCACGATATCGATACTGCATCATCACATTAAAACGATACGATATATTGATATTTCGACTGATATTTCTTCAACAAGGTAAAATACACTTTACTGTTTTGGCTTTAAAACAGAAGAAGAACAAGGAGTTAATGTTCACCCTGATCTCGCTGTTGATGCTGTTGTTCCGTAAAACTCGTGAAAGAATGTTCGCCTCGCACATCGATGACTGGAGACGGGTGAGGAGACGGAGCAGCTCAAGAACATGGAGACTGTTTGCTCACAAAGAGTGGAGGATCTTTCTTCTACATCTTTTTTTATTTTATTTATTTATTTTTATTTATAATTTGTCAAATTTAAGGGATTGGATACCCAGCACATCCACAATAAGACAGACTTAACTAAACACGCATACAAAAAAAATAATAATAATAATAATTATAATAAAAATAAATAAAATACATAAATAAGTAAATAAAAAAAATAAAAAAAATTTAATAAAATAATAATAATAATACAAATAATGATAATGATAAAAATACCAAAAAAAAAACATCTTAAGATTCATTGTATACATATAGATTATTTTATAGTTGGGTTAAAATATACTATGTCTATATGTATCCAGATATTCTTCTTACTTTTCTATTATTATTCTATGATTGTTGTATGATGATTAGTATTTCATTATTATTATTTTTATTATTATTACACTATATGTTGATTGTCTTTGTTTTTTGAATTATGGTGGTTTTGGGTGCACTGTTTCTTTACAACCCGTCACCCTTGGGTGCTTGCCACATCCTATTTAAGACGGCCACCTGAGCCTAGTGCTGAAATGTTGCATGGTTTGTCCTAATAAATTTCACTATTTGCAAGTAAGACGGTGTTTTGACAAACACAAATCTGGTCACACTGACCTGTATTCACCTGAGTCATGTCTTTTAATCCAACACAAGTTGAACCACATCAGCGACACAAGAGCTGGAGTTTTATCTTCACTTAGTTTATGTAAATTAGTGATGTGGTTTTAACTTTTGTTTCTGTGAGATTTGAACAAAACTGAATTAAACACATTATAATGTCAAACAGCTGATGTGGATCTAGAGTCGTTATGTTTATATGTCGTAAAGTTGAATTTATTTATGCAGATTAGTGCAGATAGTAATAATAATGATGATCATTTTAATATAAAAACGTTAATGATTAATCGAAACTTGATCGTTAATTCTCCTGACAATCGATTAAGAAAATTTTATCGAATGCCCGTCACTAGTGAGAACAGAAATGCACAGAATCACATCTTGTTACAAACTCAACCGTCTGACGAGAATTCAAGTGGAAACTCCAGATATAAACCAGTAAAATGGGACCAATAGATTCCGGTTTATGCTGGAGAAACTGTGGCGTGGTCAATGCCAACCATACACACATCTATTTTGGCATTGTCCTAAACTGGATTTGTTTTGAAGGGAAGTTTGTGATGCCCTTAAAGTTATTTTTAATCAACATATCCTATCTACCCTAGTTGTAGCAGAACTATACTTCACCCTTTAGGAGCGTTACCTGCAAGTATCGGCGCACGAGATGAAAAACACCTTTTAAATATTTTACTTACAGCTGCTTTAAAATGTAAAACCATCAGAAGCTCAAACCAGATCCTCGCTCTTTTAACATACGGATTCAGAAAGTTTGAGATATATACTGAATGGAGCAGATAACCTGTTCTTTAAGGATTCAAAAACCTATTTTTATTCAGCGCTGGAAAACTGTTTTGCCTATGCTAATACGGTAGAAATGACATGGAGCTTCTTTTATAACTGATCTGGTCTCTGATACATAAAGAGTTGACGTTTAATCACGTCATTATTACCCTGTCGCTTGCTTGTTTCTTTTTTTATATTGTTTAAAAAAATTGAAAGGATTTATGTGCACAAAAAGTAATAAAAAAAAACAACTTAAATGTTTGCATTCATTTTAAATCATCGTATTATTGCAGAAACATTAAGTAAAAAAAACCAAAACAACAGAATTCTTTTTGTTCTGGCCATATTAATTCACAGTAAGATCTTGTCAAAACATTTAAAAAGGAAAGACTTACATATCTACAACTCTATAAATACTCATATATAAGTATACTATGATGTTTTAAGCACAATTTAGTTTAAAATTCATATAAACTGCAAAAATCGAAGCTATATTTGGTACTGTTGGTTATGACTTGGACTTCTGTTACTCGAGACTCGACTTGGACTTGCCTGTATTTGACTCGGACTTGAGGTCAAAGACTTGAAACTTGCAAAACAACAACTTGGTCCCACCTCTGCCTTTTACCAAACGACTAAAAGACCTCACCCGCCTCGTGTCTGTGGCTCCTCTGGTCCGTCAGGTGCGTAAACCCGGAGCAGATGGAGCGGGGATTGGGGCTGGAGGATGGAGGGGCTCAGGTAAAGCGGATCCACGCTCGGCTCGGGCTGATCACAACTCAGCTCTACGCACTTTCTTCCGCCCTACAACGCGAGAAAGTTTGTCCTGAACCGTTACAACAAAAGCTTTTCAACTCCTCGCGGGTTTAAAGTCGCTCTCCGCCGCGCGTAAAAGTGATCCAAACTCACTTTCCGACGCGACGGTTCAACAAAAAACACACTAGATCAGATTAAAACAGCTGACCTGCCCGGAACTACACTTGATCTGTGCGGGGTAAGGTGAAGCTCTCGAAGTTCACTCCCCCGAAGTTTGACTCCAGGAGCGAAACATTTTCCACTTCCTCTCGCGCAAAATAAAAGGCGCTTGGCGGAGCTCGGTGGCGCGTCCCGTTTCCAGAGCAGAACCCGGGTTTATTTTGACATGAGCGGGCGGAACAGACTCACCAGAGCCGCGCCTCGGGACACCTCCAGCCAGGCTAAGGTAAAAAACGAGCTAATCCAGGCTAGCTGCGGGGCTTTAAACTCCTCCGCTCCGGGGAAACGCGCGTCACGGAGCCCCGGCGCGCACACGGAGGGGGGCACGGCGCGGCCCCGGCGTGTCCCGGACGCGTGTTGGGGCCCCGATCCGGACTTTAGGAGCTTGTTTGTGGCTTGTTTGTGGCTTGTTGGTGCTGGGTTAGCTTACCTCTGTCGACGCTGCGGGGGCTGCTGGTTCTTCTTCTGCCGCGGATCCGGAGCTGAGACTCGGGGAGGCGCGGCGCGTACGGCCCCCAGCGGCCACTGCGCGCACTGCTCCGAGGCGCAATGATAAAGCTTCACAAAGTTTATGTTGAGATTTTTAAAATATAAATAAGCATATTTATTTTATTTTTAAATATAGAGATTGTAGAAGAGTTTAGAATTTATTTTGGAGACATTTATGTTTTTCTGCCTTATTTCATGTTCAGTGTTTATTTTATTCATTTTATACGTCGCAAAACTGCTCTAAGGTTCAGATTTTTTGCTGATATTTATTTTCAATTTGAAAGTTTTGCCTAAATTATCAATAACAGTGTTTTGTTTTGTTTTTTTGAGAGAGAACTGTTGATTAAATGCATCACGTAACTAAAAAATAATCGTTTGAATAATTGTGATTTCAATATCGACCAAAATAATCGTGATCATGATTTTTTTCAATAATGGAGCAGCTCTAGTAAAAAGTATTTACTTTATTGACATGTTTCTAAACACGTCAACAAAGTAAATATTAGGGCTGGTATCGTTAAGAAGTTGCCGATACGATACACATCTTGATACAGTGAACTTTTGATTCGATACGATATTTTCAAATCAATTTGATACGGTTCTGTAAAAAATAATGTGTAAATCATTAAAACGATATAAACCTCACGGTACGATATTTATTGTGATATTCTGAAGAGGCCGATATAATTGTAGATGTGACACTTTATTTGTTTTTAAAATCCCTTGACAAGATTTTGGTGTGAATTATTTCCGTCATAATCCCAAGAATTCAAGTAAAAACATATTTCTTCATGTCTGCGCTGAAATGAAGGCGAAACTGTGGTTTTACGCAGATATATTTATTTATATATTAGGCTGGTTCATCAAACATGATAAAAAATAAAGTTTCAGATCATCTCGATTAGATCCTGCGTCAGGTTTGAGCTCCAAACGATGATTTAGGAGGAAATGTGGAAGAAAATTGAGATGTTTTAGAAGCTTCTGGATGAAGTTGTGAAGCTCCTGCAGATGATTTGTTTTTTCTTTCAGAAGCTTCACAGTCTGAACATTCAGTCTGAACAGTTTTGGGCGACGTCTTTGGTCCCTGAGAAGAAACTGACGCTTCACGATCTGATGGAAAAGGTTCAGAAGGTTCAGAGGTTCAGAGGTTCAGAGGTTCAGAGGTTCCACCAAAGCCACGAGACAAAGACCTTCATCCAGCAGATCATGAAGAGAAGAAGATCAGGGAGTTTGAGGAGTTTCTTCTTCTTCTGGGCTGATGATGATGAGACTGAAGCTGCTCAAACTGAGCTTCAGGAAAAATGTCCAGGATGTTTCTGACACTTTCAAATCTTGAATAAGCTTAAAATCTTGAAGATTATTCAAGATTTGAATTGTAGAACAAAGACTGAAGATCAGAAACAGGATCTACTGCAGGAGTCTCACACACACACACACACACACACACACACACACACACACACACACACACACACACACACACACACACACACACACACACACACACACACACACACACACACACACACACACACACACACACACACACACACACACACACACACACGAGCAGCTTTAGTGACACCAACAAACACACAGAGGAGATGGACTTTACAAGAAACTTTTATGAACTTTCCAAGTCATTTTTATGTAAGTTTCAGTTTGTGTTTGAAGAATAAAATGGCAAATTATTGAAATACTCCTGATTTATTTGGTTCTATGTTCTAGTTTAGGTTGTAGGAACATTTTCAAGTGTCTTAAACAAACTCTAAATATTAATTTGCATAAAATTTGGACCCAAATATTTTGGCCAGATGTGGAACCAAATGCTGATCTAGAAAATCTAAAACAATGTTTTGTTCCATGTTAATGATTATGTAGTTTTAAATGTGGGTAATAACTGCAGCACGGGACATTCTTAATGTACAGAAGGATCCTTCTCCTCCAGACGTTAACAGACGGACAATTTGATGAAAATAGTTTCATATGAGAAATTACTGGCTCTGTTCAATGATAATAAAGACATTTTATGTAAAATCTTGGGCAGCTGTTTTTGGTTGAAGAAGCCTGTGACAGGTTTGACTCAGTTTAGTCAAGATCAATATTTTTGCAAAGATTTGTTTTCCTAAAGTGAACTTTTTATTTAACAGCAAAAACTGGAGGGTTCAAATTTCAGAGTTGTTTTTAACACAAAAAGTGTTACTTTAACTCTTTGAGAGTTAAATGTGGGTTGAAGTTGGGGTGATTTACCAGAGTTGATTTGGCTGAAGTTAATTCAACTTCCCTTAGTGTTATTTTGGCTCCTCCCACCTCTTCAAACTCCCACCAGAGTAGAACCAGTTTGAACCAGTTTTGTTCATAATTTCATCTTAAATTAACTCAAATAAAGTGTAAAAATAAAACTCCTCTGTGTGTTGTTGAGTTAAATCAGGATAACTCTACAAAGTGTTATCTGTTTACTCTCTAAACGTTCATTTAACTCTGGATTTGGGTTAAACAGGAACTTTGGTCCAGTTTTACTTCATGAACATTTACACAAATGTTAAATTAACTCTAGAACAGAGTGACTCAGATAAACACTGAGAAAATGTTCAAATCGACTCTCACAGAATCAATTTTAACACTGCACTTTTTACTCTGGAGTCTTATTTGTATTTGTAAATTGAGTTGAGAGTCACAGAGGATTGTCACTTTGACGGTTTTATTTTATTTTAAGATTTATTTTTGCTTTAACTTCTTAAATTATATCATCCCTTCAGCCCCAAGTAATAAATAAATAAAAACCTGAATTACAAAACAGAAAAAAAAAAAAAAGACAAAACAGGATCAGTGGATTGAAAATAAACACTTTATATAAATTTAAAAGTTTCCCCATCGAGCCTCAAACCCCACAGAATCACATTTCAGAATCACATTTAAATTACGACGAGTCCGTTTGTAATAAAATAAAATAAAATTCTACTGTTTCAAGAAATGTACCTGTGATTTCACCGCACCAAAAAACAAAAAAAAAAACAGCAGATCAATAAATAAAGATCGTCCGTCGAATCAGTCGCGTAAAGAAATAAAACTTGAATTAAACGCACACAAACAAACAAACAAACAAACAAACAAACAAACTTTACAAACTCAGCAGTTCTTAGTTGGTGTGTGAAATGTCGTCCGGACTGCAGCCCCACAGGTTCACATTAGCAGCCGCCGTACACTCATTTACACTTAAAAAACGTTTTTAAATAAAAAGCTGCACTGCGGAACTTTTCTGCTCCGTTTCCGTGGAGATGTCATCGCTTTTTTTCCTGGAATGTTCCGCGGTACGACGTTAAAACTCATCTGTCCGTCGCGGCGTCCGTTCAGTTCGGGCGTTTCCGTTGCTCGGAAATACAATAACGACATCTCCATGGAGACGAGGGAAAAGTTACGCAATGCAGCTTTAAAACACCTAAAAACCATTCCTATGTCCTCGTAAAGAAGTACTTTGAATTCTGAGTACTGTAAACTACTCCAGGGGGGTACTCTTGTGTAGGTATTTGTACACAGGTCCTCTCAGGTAGAGTCATTCCTGTAAGTACTACTGAAGTACTTTGGAGTACGTGCCCTGGTCCAGCTGAAGTACTCCAGGGTGGGTACTTGTACTGTATGTATGTGGGTACTCTTGGGTAAGTACTTGTATGTGGGTACTCTTGGATCAGGTCTCTTGTGGAGGTACTCGGACGCAAGTACTTTAGCCAGACCAGAGCACCTACTCCAAAGTACTCATGGGTAAGTACTCATATGTAGATACTTTTGGGTAAGTACTTCTATGTATGTAGGTACTCTTGGGTCGGGTCTCTTGTGGAGGTACTATGATACAAGTACTTTGGAGTAGGTGGCCCTGGTCTAGTTAAAGTACTCTTGGGTAGGTACTTGTATGTGGGTACTCTTCGGTGAGTACTTGTATGTATTTATTCTTCGGTTGAGTTTCTTTTGGAGGTACTCGGATGCAAGTACTTTTCGAGTAGGTGCCCTGGTCTAGCTGAAATATTCGTGAGTAAGTACTTGTATGTAGGTACTCTAGGGTAAGTACTTATATGTAAGCACTCTTGGTCCTACTCCAAAGTGCTTGTGGATAGGTACTTATCTGTAGGTACTCTTGGGTCGGGTCTCTTGAGGGTACTTAGAAGCAAATACTTTGGAGTATGTGCCCTGGTCTAGCAGAAGTACTGTTGGGTAGGTACTCTTGTAGAAGTTTGAATGTAGGTACTCTTGGGTCAGATCTCTTGTGGAGGTACTCAGATGCAAGTACTTTAGCCGGACCAAGGCACCTACTGCAGAGTACTCGTGGACAGGTACTTGCATGTAGGTACTCTTGGGTCGGTACTTGTATATAGGTACTCTTCGGTCGGGTTTCTTTTGGAGGTACTCGGATGCAAGTACTTTTCAAGTAGGAGCCCTGGTCTAGCTGAAGTACTCTTGGCTAGGTACTTGTATGTATGTTGGTACTCCTGGGTCGGGTCTCTTGTGGAAGTACTACGAAGAAAGTACTTTTAGAGTAAGTGCCCTGATCTAGCTAAAGTACTCATGGGTGGGTACTTGTATGTAGGTACTCTTTGGGTTGGGTTTCTTGTGGAGGTACTCAGAAGCAAGTACTATTGAGTCCTGGTCTAGCTGAAGTACTCTTGGGGAAGTACTTCTATGCAGGTACTCTTGGTCAGGTCTCTTGTGGAGTTACTACGATCCAAGTACTTTGGACTAGGTGCTCTGGTCTAGCTGAAGTAACCTTGGGTAGGTACTTATATGTGGATACTCTTGGGTAAGTACTTGTATGTGGGTACTCTTGGTTGGGTCTCTTGTGGAGATACTTGGAAGAAAGTACAGGGTGTCCCAAAAAATCTGACATCAGGCCAATAATTTTGGCAATTCCTGTTGAAATAACCTCAAATTTTCTAACATTTTTCTTAAATTTTAATTTTTGTTCTGTTTTCAGGTTGAGCCGTTCACTCACGAAAAGAATCTGGTACCAACATCAACGTCAGAAGAGAAGGTTGAGCAAGTTCGTGAAAAACTCTCGCGAAGCTCCAAAAAGTCCGTTCGAAACCCAGATTCCTCAAGTGACGGTTTGGCGTTTCTTCAAGTTTCTGGAGCAAGTCGACACAGAATTCTTGACGTTTTCATGTCTTGTCGTCTGATTTTAAAACTTGAAGGAGCTGCATTTCCAGTTGTTTCCTTGGGATTCGCCAAACCGTCATTCGCCGCACAGTTTAAGTAACTTGCTCCAGAAACTTGAAAAAACGCCAAACCGTCATTCGAGCAATCTGGGTTTCCAAACTTTTCACAAACTTGCTCGACCTTCTCTTCTGATGTTCATGATGGTCCAACAGATCCTTCAGCCCTTTAGTCCAAGACGAAAAATGACTTCTGTTTGGGAGCGAACGAACTCCACCTCAAAACAAAACAAAAATAAAACATCCTGATCCGTTTCTAAAGATTCTCTGAAAATTTGAGGTGTTTTCAACAAGAATCGCCAAAATTACTGTCTTTCGAGATTATGTCAAATTTTTGGAACACCCTGTAATCTGGAGTAGGTGCCCCAGTCTGGCTAAAGTACTCTTGGGTAGGTACTTGTATGTAGGTACTCTTGGGTAAGTACTTGTATGTGGGTACTCTTGGGTAGGTACTTGTATGTAGGTACTCTTGGGTAGTACTTGTATGTGGGGTACTCTTGGTCGGGTCTCTAGTAGAGGTACTCTGAAGCGAGTACAGGGTGTCCCAAAAAATGTGACATCATTTTGAAGGCCAGTCATTTGGGCAATTCTTGTTGAAATAACCTAAAATTTAAAAAAAAATCTCTTTTTTTTGTGTTTTTGTTCTGTTTTTAGGTTGAGCCGTTCACTCCCAAACAGAAGTCATTTTGCGTCTTGGACTAAAGGGCTGAAGGATCTGTTGATCATGAACATCAGAAGAGAAGGTCGAGCAAGTTTGTGAAAAGTTTGGAAACCCAGGTTGATCAAATGACGGTTTGGCGTTTTTTTTCCAAGTTTCTGGAGCAAGTCGACACAGAATTCTTGACGTTTTCATGTCTTGTCGTCTAATTTTAAAACTTGAAGAAGCTGCAGACGGTTTCGTTTCCAATCTCAGCAGTTCTTAGTTGGTGTGTGAAATGTCGTCCGGACTGCAGCCCCACAGGTTCACATTAGCAGCCGCCGTACACTCATTTACACTTAAAAAACTTAAAAAAAAAAAAGCTGCACTGCGGAACTTTTCTGCTCCGTTTCCGTGGAGATGTCATTGCTTTTTTTCCTGGAATGTTCCGTGGTACGATGTTAAAACTCATCTGTCCGTTCAGTTCGGGCGTTTCCGTTGCTCGAAAATACAATAACGACATCTCCATGGAGACGAGGGAAAAGTTACGCAATGCAGCTTTAAAACACCTAAAAACAGTGCAATAAAATCATTCCTATGGCCACGTAAAGAAGTACTTTGAATTCTGAGTACTGTAAACTACTCCATGGGGGTACTCTTGTGTAGGTATTTGTACACAGGTCTTCTCAGGTAGAGTCATTCCCGTAAGTACTACTGAAGTACTTTTTTCAAGTTTCTGGAGCGAGTCGACACAGAATTCTTGACGTTTTCGTGTCTTGTCTAATTTTAAAACTTGAAGAAGCTGCAGACGGTTTCATTTCCAATCATTTCCTCAGAATTCGGAAAATTTGAGATTATTTCAACAAAAATCGCCAAAATTACAGTCCTGCGAAATGTCAAATTTGTGGGACACCCTGTACTTCGGAGCAGGTGCCCTGGTCTGGATAAAGTACTCGTGGTTAGGTACTCATTTGTAGGAAGTCTTGGGTACTTCTGTTGTGTAGGTGGTCTTATACAGGTACTCCTGGATGGTTTCCTTGACTCGGTGCACATAAATAGACATCTGTTTGGTAGTTGCCCTCGTGTAGGTACTCTCAGATAGGTTCTCGTTTGTAGGTACCTCTGAGTAGATGCACATACGTAGGCCCTCACGTAGGTAGAGTTCCTCGTGTAGGTAAATTCCCTTGGTCTAGGTACTCGTATGTAGGAGGTGCCGTACGTTACTCTTGGGTAGGTACTCTCGGTTTAGGTACCCTTCTCTAAGTACCCTCGTGTAGGTACCCTTGTTTGGGTAGGGGTCCTTGTGTCCCTCTTCGGTAAGTGCCCTCACATTGGTACTTTTGGATAAGTTCTCTGGCGTAGGCACTTGTAGGTACTCTCCTGTAGGTAGGTACTCTTGTTCGGGTACCCTCCTGTGTCCGTGGGAGGAGACTCTAGTGCTTTCTGGCCTTGTCCCGTTTCCTTTTCTCGTGGAATTCCAGGATTTTACTGTGGAAAACTCCTGAGGACAAACAGACAAAGACAAAACATTCAGAATCTTTTTATTTAAGAGTTAAAACGTTCAATATTTTTGTGAATCCGTGTGTCGTTCGTTTTTCAATATAAAACCAAAAATAAGAAAACAAAAAAAAAAACAACAATTTTCTTCATTATTTGACTCCAAAACCAAAATGAAAAAAAACAGATAATGATTCGTTTTTTTCAGTTTTCAATTTTGTGTTTAAATGAAAAATGGAAAAAACAGATAACGACCGTTTCCCGTTTACGTGACTTCAGTGACTGTGATGCCGAACTGAACCAGGACTGATCCAGGTCCGGGACAAGACCGGGACTGAGACCGAGACCGAGACCGGCACCGAGACCGAGACCGGCACCGAGACCGGCACCGAGACCTGGACCAGAGCGGGACCAGAGCGGGACTGAGACCGGGACTGAGACCGGGACTGAGACCGGGACTGAGACCGGGACTGAGACCAGGACTAGAGCGGGACCAGAGCGGCACCGAGACCGGCACCGAGACCGGCACCGAGACCGGCACCGAGACCGGCACCGAGACCGAGACCGAGACCGGGACCGAGACCGGGACTGACTGCGAGCTTTGACCCCAAGCCTTCGCAGTGTCCGAGCCTCAGCTTCGAGCTCCGGCCCTGCTGTGGGCTCTGAGCCTCCGGTCTGGTCCTGGTCTGGTCCCGGTCTGGTCTCGGTCTGATCCTGGTCTGGTCTCGGTCTGGTCTCGGTCCCGGTCTGGTCTCGGTCTGGTCTCAGTCTAGTCCCGGTCTAGTCCCGGTCTGGTCTCGGTCTGGTCTCGGGGTCTCGGTCCCGCTCTGGTCCCGGTTCCATTATTCATTTAAAAACAAAATCAAAAACTGAAAAAATGATCATTATCCATTTTTTCATTTTGGTTTTGGAGACAAATAATGAAGAAAACTGTTGTTTTTTCATTTTCTTATTTTTGGTTTTATATTGAAAAACAAATGAACAAACGATACGTGGATTTTTGTGTTTTAGGAGTTTGTAACTTGTCGAGAAAGAGTTTAAATACACTCACTTTTGCATCTTTTATAGTTAGACGCAATATTTGACTTCTCTGTAAATCTGCTGCGGTTCTTTTAATACCTCAGTGGTTTCGTGACGTCTTTGGATTTCTTAAATTAGAAAAGTTTAATATTGCGACTAAAGGAAATGAAGAAAAATTGCAAATCATTAAAAACTTCTCTCCTCTTTCTCTTCCTCTCGAACTTTTAGATTAGATTTTTCATCATCGTAATGAATATTATTGTCTTTTAATTGTTTGCCATTGTTTAATTTTGATCATATCTGGATTTGAGACTTATTATTAAGACAAATGAAAATAAGAAAACTGTAAAACTGTAAAACTGTAGTATACTGAGTACACTGTGATTCATTCATAAAATATTTGGGTCATTCCAAGCAAAATCTCTGAACGTCTCATTCGACCATCTCAGATTTGACTGAAAAAATTCTAGGAGGTTCACAACAGAAAAAGATAAAGTCCCAGATTTTATTTCCCAACTCCTTATAGTTTTGTGATAAAAAATATTTTGTCGACTCCCCCCTGATCTGTTTTGAGCAGAGTTTTCTGAGGAGACACTTTCAGATTTCTGTATCTAAAAAACTATTTAAGATTCTTCAAATTTTCAAGGGTTAAAGTTTGTCAAATGTTCTTTTACACTTGTGCTTTTGGTTTATCACAAATTTCTGGGGATTGAATTTGTTCTTAAATTCTCCTCTTCAAATGTCAGCGCGTCTTTGAAGGAAAAGTGGAAAGTTCAGTTTCACAGACAGAAGTTTGATATTGAACATAAACCTTCACACACGACACTGTGGACTTTGTATTTTAAACCTGAGCCTCTGTGATGAACGAGCTACAAGAGATGAAGTGTTCAACATGGAACAAAATACATTTGGTGCATTTTTACCAGGTTAGACCAAAAAAAATGAAGCACCACCAACAGAAAATGGACAGTTTTAGAAAAACTAGACGTCTGTTTTTAACAGATCCAAGATTTGTGATGTTCTGTCTTATTTTTGCAAAATGAACTTTTGAAAATGTGGTGTCCACAAACATGCAGAGCACTCATGGACCATGAAGACACTTTCTTAAACTTAACAAAATGTTTCATTTCATTCTTAATAAACCAAACTTGAAGTAGAACTTGTATGTCGTCTTCAGACAGAGTCACATCAGACAGAGCAGAGCTTTTTGGTTTCACAACCCCAGGAAATGTCGATCAGCTGCAGAGTATAAATACATGAAACATACTCCGACATAAGGAGTACCTTGCTGTGGGCCGGGCTGCTGCTGCTCCACCTCCTGGATGAACAGGTCAAACATCTGCGTCTGGATGAACTTCTTCACAAAGTGCCTGATGCTCTTGGACTCGATGGACTTGTAGAAGCCCCTCTTCTCGAACACGCCGCGCTCCCCGGACGAGCCGCGCCTGACGAAGGAGCCGTAGTGACCCACAGTCTTCACGAAGAACTGAAGGAAGGCCTCAGACACCACGCGGTTCAGCTCCTCCACCGCTGAAACACACACAGGGTTTACAGTGACGCGGTTCTTCTGGTGGAGGACAGCACTGACTGTCGTTACTTTGCTTTTGTTTCACTTGTTTCCAAACCCCACACTGCAAAAAAGTTTGACCAAAAGATATAAACCAGGGGTGGGCAACTTTTTAACTCATGGGCCACAAATGGTTCTAAAATTTGACGAAAGGGAGCAGATGGATGGAGGGTTTTTTTTGTAAATCACCTCATAAAACAAAAAAAATAACATGGGATCTGTAGAAAACATGTCCCAGAACTGAAAATCATTACAAAGCATCAACTAAATATCTGTGTTTCAAGTCCCACAGTATTTACAATTTATTAAAATGACTTTTAAAACACTGAAAATCTTTATTATTATTATTATTATTGAAGTTCAGTGGGCCAGATTAAAAAGATTAAAGGGCCGCATATGGTCCCCGGGCCGTAGTTTGCCCACTCCTGGTCTAGAAAATGATTTAAAAGTCGTGAAATGATGTGTCCATGCAGCAAGATCATTTGACTTGACAAGTTCTCTTAAAATAAACGACCTCCAGACGAGAATGAAACACGTCAGAACGAGAATAAATTTGAAAACAAGATGAATAACCTGGTAGAAGTTTTAAAATCTTGGCGCGATCAGAGAAATTTGCCGTCCACTCACTTGAGGCTTGTTTCCGGGGTCTTAACGCGTCCAGGATCTCGGTCTGGATCTTCGGAGGCAGAATGGATTTTTCGTCACCGATCTGCAAAAGGACAAAAGTGAAGTGAGTAAAGACGTCTCCGAGCGTCGGCCACACGTGTCCTGCTCCAGTTTCCTCACCGAGTACGGGAACGTCTCCTTCTTCTCCTCGGACAAATCCACCACCAGCAGCTGAGGACAAACACACACACGCACGATTTTTATTATTTTACTCAAGAGAAAATGCAACACGTGTTTACTGTTTAGGTGTGGTCAAAATATAAAAGACTGCAAAATAAAAGTGATTCATGTACGTTCCAATGATCTTTAATTTTCTGCATTCAAGGAGTCTTTGCTCAGAAAATTCCCGTTTTCCCCCACCCCCCACATCCACCCACCGCTCTTTACTTCTTCGTTTTATTTTGTCTGTAGAATTCAGAAGAACTGAATTCAAAAAATAAGAC